AGAAGCCAGGAATGATGGTGCATACCTGTAATCCCAGCACTTGGGAGGCAAAAGGATCTCAAGTGTGAGGCCAGCCTAGGCTACATAAGAGTCCTTGCCTCAAAAAAAAGAAAAAGGAATTAAGAATATCTATATGAAGTTGAAGTTGGCAGAATGGCTCAAGTGGTAGAGCGCCTGCCTAGTATGCATGAGCCCTGGAGTTCAGACCCAAGTACCACCACCAAAACCAAAAGAATGTCTGTATGTGGTAATACAGACTTTTAAGATATAAGTAGAAAACACTTTATGATGTGATAAATATGAACATATACATATAACTTTGGAAAATTACAAAAGTAATATTAATAGGGATTGACTAAGAAATAAGACTAAGAGTACAGAGGAAGAGAAAAATTATTAAATATTAAAAATTTGTCATCTGGCTATAATATTAAAAAGTATATGACAACCCTTTGGAGTTTCGTTGTTGTGGTTTTTGCAGTACTGGAGATTGTAATGCTACACAAGCGCTCTACCACCGAGCTACATCCCCAGCCCACCAGTTTCCTATAAAGTTAAACATACAGGCCAGGTGCTGGTACAATTATAGGCATGAGCCAGGTAGCTCATGCCTATAATTCTAACTACTTGGGAGGTTGAGATCAGAAGGATCACAGTTCAAGGCCAGGCCAGGCAAATAGTTCACAAGACTCCATCTCCAAAATAACTAGAACAAAATGGACTGGAGGTGCAGGTCAAGCAGTAGATATGAGAAAAACTTGGATGAGCCTTATATTCTGCTGAGTAAAAGAAGCCAGATACAAAAGAGTACATTCCTGAACTGTATGATTCTACTTATAATAAGTACTAGGATCAGCAAAACTTATCTACAGTGACAGAATTTTTAAAAATCTCAGCCTGGTAGTAGTGGAGAGTGGTGGGGAGGTGTTTGAAGGAAGTTAAAGGAGTGACTGGAAATAGACAGGATGGATGGAACTTTCTGGGATGATGGAAATGTGCTACGTGTGGCTAGTAGCTTTGGCTGGTAGTTATATGGGTGCATACAATTACCAAAACAAATTATGTATTTAAAGTATATAATTTAATGCTTTTAGTATATTCACAGATATATGCAACCATTACCACAATCAATTTTAGAATATTTTCTTCACCTCAGAAAAAACTCCAAACCCTTTAATGTCATCCTCCTTATCCCCCAGTCCCAAGCAATCCCCAATCTATTTCCATCTGAATTTGCCAATTCTGGACATTTCATAAAATTGGAATCAAATAATGTATGGTCTTTTGTGACTGCCTTTTTCACTTAGCAAAATGTTTTCAAGGTTCACCTATGTTGTAGCCTGGGTCAGTACTTCACACCTTTCCCGGCTAAAGAATATTCCATGATACGAACAGACCACATTCTGTTTGTCCATTCATCAGCGGATGACAGACATCTGGGTTGTTTCCATCTTTTAGCTAATATGAAGAATGCTGTTATAAACATCTATGTGCATGTTTTTGAGAGAATTTACTATGCGTCATATTGTGTGAAAATTATACTTCAAATTTAAGAAATTTGGATATGAAAAATCATATTGTTACTATACAGTATGATTTCTGGGTGATTCAATAAATGGAAAAATAAAAACAGCTCAGAATGACAGATAAGCAAATTATAATAAAAACATATTTCAGGCAAGAAAAAGGTTCTTTGTCAATAAAAACAACTAATTGAATGTGGTGTTCCTCTCCTGACGAAGCAGAAGTTTCCTGTGTAAATAAGGACATAAGGGAGAAGTGAAAGTGCCCCGCACACACACACACACACACACACACACACACACACACACACACACGCATGCACACAGAGTCTCTCTTTTAAGGACTCAGGGACCATGCCACAGAAACATTGCTCATCATCCTGACTTCTCTATGTCCCATTAGCAACTAAATCCACATGAAGTATGACCTAATTCTTTTTTTGAGAGATAAAGGAAACAGTTTAGTCTACTAGGCAGAAGCAGAAAATAGTTTTAAAAAGGGTCTGGGTAGCATTGGGCACAGTATTTACATAGAGATATGATGCCTCAGAGCTGTCATACCAGAAGGAAACTGTTTTGTTAACAAATTAAAGAACACTCTTTTCCTGAAATAGTTATAAAATTATTTCTCATGCTGTGATACAAACAAAAGTTTTGTTACTGCTCCTCTCACTGCCAAAAAAAAAAAATTCAATGGATCCATTATGACTTCGTTTTGTAGAAATGATAGGAAGAGAACATTAGGGATTGCTGTGTTCTATTTGGGGGACTCTGCCATTTGATTGATTAATTGATTGATTGGCAGAGTCTCACTATGTAGCTGGCCTCAAACTTGTAATTCTCCCTGAGGCTCCCAAGTCCTGGGATTATAGGTGTGCAATGCTCAGTTAGTACATACTTTACATACACATATTTCCTCATTTAATCCACAGAACAGCTTTATATAGTGTGTACTAAATTTTATTCCCATCTTACAAGACTTCATTCACACAGAACACAGTTCAGGTTTCCACTCACAGCCACTATGCCTAAAACTGTACATATACTAATTCTGAATCCCATGTGCTTCTGTGCAAAACATTACCTTAAAACTGCTTTGAACTCACAATGACTTTAGAACAGCCAAATCCAAAGGATGCTCTTCACTTTATCTAACCTTTCTGACCTACTTCCTATTTTTCAAATGTTCTTCTCCCTCACCTAACTAACCTTTCCTTCTCATTATTTTTGAATGGCTCTTCATCTCTACTTACACCTTTAATTTTGGTGTCCACCAGAATTTCTATTAGTTTTTTTCTATAATTTCTATCTATTTATTAATAGTCTTTATTTTGGTGAAGCATAGCTTTCTTAAGGGTTTTTTAAAATTCTGTTTTTGTTTTGAAACAGGGTCTACATAGCCCTGATTGGCCTTAACTCTCAATCCTTCTGCCTCAGCCTCCCAAGGGGTGAGATTCCAGACATGTACCACCATGCTCTGCCTTACTTTGGTTTTTTACTGTACTTTCCGTTAGGTTTTTTCTATGCTTAAATAGTTAAGATCTTGGCCTAGAATGTACAATATTCCTCAGGAAGAGCCTCTATTGACTGCTTTCCTCCCCTCTGTATGGGCCATACTTTCTTGTTCCTTTACATGTCTCAGTTTTTTTGCTCAAAACTAGACATTATAAGTTATATATTATGGCTATTCTAAAAATCAATCATTCTCCCCTTCCCAAAGTTTGTTACTGTTGCTATTAATTTAGTATTTTTCCAAACTAATTCTGTAAAATCTGTATTCTTTGTCACATAAGACCACTGAATTTTCTTCTTGGTTACTTAGTGGTTGGCTATTGACTGGATAGAGATTTCTTCAAATGCTTTGACCTAACAGGCTCTTGGTCTTTGCTGGGGCTCTAAGTCTCTGTGTGTATTGGGTGCTGGGCCACACAGTCTACAATTCCACCTTAGCTTCTACTTCTTGCTTGTGTGAAGTCCAAGGTGAACTGGAGGTGAAGGTTTAGGACTTTCCCGCATGTTTCCTAAGCGGGTCAAGTATGAATTTACTTGACCTTCTAGATTCCCAGGAGATCTTTGTCAGATATTTTCAAATCCCTCTATGAACATCTCACCCCTGCTTTTCCTTTTAGGTTTTTTGGTTAGTTTGTTGTTTGCGCCAACTGACATCACAGTAGCTGCAATGCTAAAGAGTTGTTGCTGGCTGTTTTTGACAAATGCTTCTGGGGGAACTACTCTGTGCCGAATGAGTTCACTCAGGTTAAATAAATATAATTTTTCAAGTGAGGATTTAACCAGGAAACAAGATAAATAAAAAATACTTTTAAAAAAGAAACTCAATAGATGAAAGTAAAATAATAAAAATACCCAGTTAATTTTTAAAATGACATATGAAAAAGAAAATAATCAAAGAAGAGATGAGATAAAAGAAAACTGTGTGAGCACGTATCTATCTACCTCTCTCACTTCCTCTGCCCTCTTCCCATTTATTTTTTCTACTAGGTTATAAGGTTACCAAACTTGAATGATAAACCTAAATAAAGCAAGGTTAACTGCTTTAATAAATACTTTGTGTGTGTGTGTGTGTGTGTGTGTGTGTGTGTGTGTGTGTAGTACTAAGGCTTGAACTCAGGGCCTTGCACTTGCTAAGCAGGTACTCTACCACTTCAGCCACTCCATCAGCTCTTTTCTGTACTGGGTGTTTGCGAGATAGGGGCTCTTGAACTATTTGCCCAGGCTGGCTTTGAACCACGATCCTCCTTATCTCTGCCTCCTAAGTAACTAGGATTACAGGCATTAGGCATGGCACCCAGGTTAAATACATTATTAATTCTAATTTCTCTGTATTGGAATCTATGGACATTTATAAGTTTCTACTAAATTAATCAACAAATATAATAAGGCAATATGGAAAAAAAAAAAGATCCACCTATCTTCCCAAAAATAAATCACAGAATTTTGGAACTAAAAGTTATTTTAGAAACTGCATTATACAAATTTTCATTTTATAATTAAAGAACTAAGAGTCAAAATGATTAATTGCTCACTGATAAGAACAAACACATGGCCAGTCGGCAGCACAGCCATAGTCAAATTCTTATTTCATAACTTCTAATCCAGCCAGTTCAAGAGAAAATAACTTCCAGGCAATAGTAACCATGTATACACATTTAAATAATGTGCTCATTTCAAATATTTCTTATCTAGCAGGTCTAGAAAGATTTCTATTTGGAAACATCCTATTAGTTAAGTTATATACCTACCTGGACAGAATCAAAAATTTTTTAAATATGTTATTACTGAATTTAGAGTTTCAACTAGTTCAAATTCTTACCATTAATGAAGATTATTGAAATGTACTGCTGTTAAAGAAAAATCAAAAAGACCATGGCAAAGCAAGCATGAAAGGACCAGCTGTCAAGTTCAGAGAGTACAAATTTACATTCAAATTAAGCTTATGAAATGTGCATATAGTATTACCTGTAGCTCCCAGTGGGTGTCCCTTTGAAATCAATCCACCACTAGGATTTATGACCCATTTCCCTCCATAAGTATTATCTCCTCTATCAACCAGTGTTCCACCTTGTCCTTCAAAAGAAAAAATAACACTCATGAATGTTAAAAAATAACATCAGAACAAATGGCATGTTTTTTTTTTTTTAATTTCCATATTGCCAAGTTTTTTTGTTTTTTTGGTTTTTTTTTGGTGGTTCTGGAGTTTGAACTCAGGGCCTCATGCTTGCTAAGCAGTCACTCTACCACTCCACCAGCCCCCAAGAACTTCTTAAAGTAAACATTTCTTAAACAATTTAACAATTTGGTATAAGTGCTTCTAAAAATTAAATATTAAATATTGAACAATAAAGGTTTATCTGCATGAAACAAACCTTCTATTAGTTCCTAAGAGCTCTCTGGCTTCCAAAATTGCTCCAAATATAATAAATTCAAAAGCCAGGAAGAGGACTGAAGGTGTGGCTCAAGTGGTAGAGCTCCTGCTTTGTAAAAGCAAAGCCCTGAGTTCAAACCTCAGTTCCACCAAAAAAAAAAAAAAAGTCAGAAGAACTAAAATGGATATAATACTATGCAATAATATAGTTAAAATTATAATAGCTTTAAAATTCATAATTTTCCAAAATGTACTCATTTCTCTCCATTTTCAACTGTATTGTTATATGCTATATAAATATTTTTAATAAACAGGGAAAAACAAGAAAAAAAGCACTTCCATAAAATTAAAGCAAATAACTGGAAACACCAATGAGCCATAAAAATAGGGTAATTTAAAAATTACTTTTATGTTTGGTGGCTTCAACATTACTGTGATGTCTTGGCCACTATTTCAGGTAGTTAAGAAGTACATAAAAGTGTATGCATTGTATAAAATATTCTTCCAGATGCTATTTGATAAATAAGAAGTGGGAGCTCCAAATGATAATTTGCCATCCAAAAAATAATATGTAGAATGCTCATAAAAGCTACAGAAAGAAGGCAGAGTTTGGGAAGTGATCGGAAAAGGAAGACAGGTGAGGTGTTTGCAGCAGTGTGTCCTGAGAAGGGAACATTAGCTGAAGACATGAAGGCAGTGAGGGAGCAAACCATACAGGTATCTGGAGCAAAGATCCTGAGATAGAACGAGCCTAGAGTGCTTGAAAGAGGTCAACATAGCTGCAGAAAAGTCAGAGAGTAGAAGTTGAAGAGAAGGAAGTGGGAAGTAAAGAGATCACATTTGGCTTCTGCCTCTGGGTGAGATGAGAAACTACTGGGTTTTGAACAGAGGAATGGCACTGATTGCTATATGGTTCTAATAGAATCATTCTGTAAGGAGAGAAGGTAGTTGTGAGACTTCTACAATAATCTAAGCAAGAAACAACACTGGCAAGTGACAAAAAGTGGGAAGATAGGTTCATACTCTGAATTTACTTTGAAGGGAGAGTCCATAGCCAACAGGACTAGAGATGGATTCAGCGGGGACTGTGAGACAAAGAGAGGACTTAAGAATGACTCTATGGTTTCCATTTTGAACAACTGGAGGATGGAGAAGATCTATGAGAGAGGAGGAGGTTTGGAAAATATTGGGAGTTCAATTCTGAACTTATGTTTAAGATACTTATAAGATAATTTAAAAAAAAAAAAACCTAAAAAGTAGGTTGCTGGATACCTGAGTCTAGAGATTCAGGAACAGAGCTAGGGATATAAACTTAAAACATCATCATCATATATGTGCCATTTAACCCTGAAACTGGGTTCCCATTCTGCTAAGGCAGCATGTGTTCCTATGGTGCTCTTCCCCCACTGATTACATCTGACAACACTGGATAAAATACTAAACATAACTACCTGAGGACTGTGAAAGTAAACAAAAGCAGGAGGATTACAGAAAGTGGAAACTTGAACTGCACGAGGGTTTGTTCCCAGTTATGTTTCTGTAGATTCTGTTAGCAGCTTTTGTCCAAAATGAGCACAGTTCTGGAACAGCATGGCAGCAGGGGCAGCAGAGGTAGCAAAAACTCTAACACCAACTCCATCTTTCTAACCAAAGGAATCAGGAAAAAAAAGTCCCAGAAGCTGAAGAGTCAGGGAAGGCCACAGTGGAGAGCACCAGAAAAGGGAACTCACAATTCTGTGGACCTGTGCAAGTATCAGGCTCACTTTTTTTCTGTTTCTCAGGAAGGAACTCAGGACCTCACATCAGGTAGGCAAGTGCTCTGCCCCCAGGCCTCAGGCTCACTCTTGAACCAAGGATGCAACAGGATGGACTCAAACCAGCACAGACAGCAAAGACTTAGAGAACTGAACAAGGATTTTGGCCACCACCCTCAAAAGGCAAGACAGAATGTGTCACAAAAATACTGAGCTGACTGCTTACTAAAACAAAAACATCAACACTCTGCAAAGGATTTATTACCCTGTCCACAATGCCATCCAAGAGTACTCAATAAAAGAATAGAAAAATGTAAACACTCTCAAGGGGAAAACACCATCAATAGGTATAAACTCATGCCTCTAATCCCTGCTACTCAGGAAGCAGAGATCAGGAGGATCCAAGGTCAGCTCCAGAAAAAAACAAATAAACAAAAAACCCAGAGACCCTGCCTAAAAAATAGCTAAAGCAAAACAGGGCTGGGACAATGCTCAAGTGGTACAGCAAGCACAAAGCCCTGAGCTCAACATCTCCCCCAAAAGGTGCAAAACCTGAGAAAGCCTTGATTATGGAATTATCAAGGCCTTTAAAACAAAGTAAAGAAAGCCACACTAGAAATGAACACAGAGTACAAGTTCTCAGCAGAGCAAAAGAAACTAGAAAATGAACCACATGGAAATTTTAGAAATAAAAATGAAATATTTTAAATAAAAAAACTCACAAGAATGGTTCAAGAGCAGAAAGAAGCTGGGCCCCAGTGACTCATGCCTGTAATCCTAGTTACTCAGGAGACAGAGATCAGTAGGATCATTGTTTAAAGCCAGCCTGGGGAGATAGTTTGAGAGACCCTATCTCAAAAAAAAACCAATCACAAAAAAAGGGCTGCTGGAGTGGCTCAAGGTGTAGGCCCTGAGTTCAAACCCTAGTACAGCAAAAAGAAAAAAAAAAGAGCAGAAAGAAGATAAATAAGAAGTCAGTAAATTTAAACATATATTAATATAGCCGGGTGCCAGTGGCTCACACCTGAAATCTTATTCAGGTGGTAGAGATCAGGAGGATCACAGTTCAAAGCCAGCCTGAGCAAACAGTTCTCAAGACCCTGTCTTGAAAATACTGAACACCAAAAAGGACTGTCGGAGTTGCTCGAGCAAGCATAAGGCCCTGAGTTCAAGCCCCAGTATCACCAAAAAAAAAAAAAAAAAAAAAACAGCTGTCATCTCAGAATTCCAGATCCAGCGAACATTTTCTTTGGGAATTAAGGTTAAGTAAAGACATTTTCTGATGAAAGAAAATGAAGAGAATTCATCTCCAAGAGACTTGCTTTGTAAGAAATGCTAAAAGGTTTTCAGGCTAGGGTAAATAACTATGGGAAAAAACTTGTGTCTTGAAGAAAGAGTAACAGAAATTATAAGCATCTAGGTAAATATAAAAGACATTTTTCCTTCTCATGTCTTTAAAATATTTATGACTGGTGAGAGCAAAAATTGTATCATGATATAATTGGGTTTCAAAATAAGTGGAATATATATGACAACTATAGCATAAGGGTCAGTGTAGAACAAAGGGGAGTCAGTTAATGGACCTATGTGGTGGTGTGATATGGTACAATATTAACTCAAAGAAAACTGGAAGTTAAATACACAAACCATAACCCCTATAGCAGATGTTGTCAGCTGGCAGAGATTTTTGCCAGCTAGAGACATTTTTGGTTGTCACACTGTTGATGGACGTGCAACTGTATTTTGTGGGTAAGAAACTAAAAATACTGCTGAATATCTTAAAATGTACAATCCCCATCACAAGAATAATAGAGCTCAAATGCCAAGGCTGAGAAACCTAGTCCTATAACCACCAAAGAAAAAAAAGAGATACAGCCAAAAATCCAACAGATAAAGTAAAATACTAGAAGTATCCAAACAGTGCAAAAGAAGGCAGGAGAAGGGAAACGAAAGAACAAAAAGCAGTGAGGACAAGTAAAAAACATAATAAAATGGCCAACCTAAATCCCACTATATCAACAGAGTGGAATACTATGTTCACAGACTAGGAGAAAATGTTCACCACATACGTTCATTAGATAAATGACTCATATTCAGAACGCATGCATATGAAAACACTTACACCACAATAAAAGCAAAAACAAATAACTAAAGAGCAAAGATTTAAATTGACACTTCACAAAAGAAGATATACGTATGACCAGTAAGCACATGAAAAGATACTCCATATGGGTAGTCACCAGCAATATGTAATGAAATCTAAAATAAGATACAATTACATACTCTTCAGCATGGATGAAATCTTTAAAAACAGACCATATCAAATGTTGGCAAGTGAGAAAAGCAAGTAGAAGTCTCATACACTAAAGGAAAATGGTACAGTTTAGCAATGAAAAGAACTCTCAAATTCCGCCAACTATTTTTTTCCATTTTCTTTTCTGCAAGTCTTCGTTTAGACACAGTTAGAAATACTTGGAATTACATGTGCAATGATACATCATTTTGAAGTTTTAAGGATACATTATAAGCACTCTGGTCTATGCAATGTAAATTATGTGTATGCTCTGTTATCTCAGTGTTGGTATTGTCCATGACTACATGTTCTAAAAACTCCAAAACTGCTTACATTCACTTCGTTCAGTGTGGCAGAGTCAATATGGAGGGAAAGGCAATTAGTGAAATCTTTTAATAGTGAAAGTGAAGCTTTCTCAATGAAATCTACCCAATTAATATTCCCTCTTCAAAGATACTACCTTCTGGACAGAGGCCCAATGCTTCATAAGTAAGGAGTTCATTGACAGAAAAGCAATCATGAAGTTCTATTACATCAATATCACTTGGTCTCAGGCCAGATTTTTCATAGCATTTTCTGGCAGCTTCTTTACTTATATCGTAGCCAACCTAAAAAACAAAGCCATATATAAATAAACTCAGGGCACCAAAACTGGGCCTTTTACACAAGGATTTTAAGAGAATACTATATATATAACCTTAACAGCTCAGCATACTACACATATTGAAACCTCAATTGACTCTATACTACACAGAAAGTCCAAATAAAGTAATATCAAGGAGGGTCAGGTACCAGTGGCTCACCCCTGTAATCTCAGCTACTTGGGAGGAAGAGATCAGGAGAACAGAGGTTGAAGACAACCCAGGCAAATAGTTCATGAGAACCTATCTTGAAAATACCCAACACAAAATAGGACTGGCAGAGTGGCTCAGGTGGTGAAGTGCCCTGCCTAGCAAGCATGAGGCCCTGAGTCCAAACCCCAGTACTGCCAGAAAAAAAAAATATATATATATATATATATACATAATATACATATTAATATATATGTAATATATATCTCAAGAAGAGATTACCTATTACATTTTGTACCAGAAAGTACAGAGGTTTAAATATGATTCACATAAAGGACTTTGGATTCCTCAGATTATATGTTGTGCTAAATTGTGAAATCTCTATCAAATCCCAATGCATAGTTGTGGTAAACTGGTTGTAGACATTTGTCACACCATATGACATATAAATCAGATACACTAAAAAACATGGGAAATTTTCTATATGAAAATAAACAGGGCTGTGAATACATTAAGAAAAAGTGGGAAGATAGAAATAAAATTTTGTTCAGCTGGGCACCAGTGGCTCACACCTATAATCCTAGCTACTCAGGGGGCAGAGATCAGGAGAATCGCAGTTCAAGGCCAACCTTGGGCAAACAATTTGAGAGACCCTATCTCAAAAAACACCCATCACAAAAAAGGGCTGGAGGAGTGGCTCAAGGTGTAGGCCCTGGGTTGAAACCCCAGTACTGCAAAAGAAAAATTTTTTTGTTCAAATTTTAAAAAGAAAATATACAAGGCTATACACACCACACAAACCTGTAATACTAGCTATTTGGGAGGTAGAGATCTGGAGGACCGTGGTTTGAAGCCAGCCCAGGCAAAAAGTTCTCGAGACTCCATCTCCAACCAGTGGCTGGGCATAATGGTATGTCTGTCATTCAGCTATATGTGAAAGCACAAATAGTAGGATTGCAGTCCAGGCCAGCATAGGCATAAAGCAAGACCCCGGTAGAATGGTTCATGTGGTAGAATGTCTGCCTAGGAAGACCAGGACCCAGGACCCAGTAGTACCACAGTACCACAAAAAAAAAAAAAACAAAAAACAAAAAAAAACCTCTTCTTTTAGTGTCACATAGGATTCAAACCATTTTTCAAAACCTGTACTTCTTTTCTTTTTTTTTTTCCTTTTTTTTATAGTACTGGGGATTGAACCCAGTGCCTTATACATTCAAAGTCCATGTCTTAACCCTTCTTTGGTTTTTTATAATAAAACAAAATGCAAACTCAAATTTTCTTCAAGAAATAAAGCTGGAATAATAGAAAATGTATGAAGAGAAAACTTAAGTATAAGTTTCACCTTGGCCACAATTGAACTTTGTAATCTTGGTTTGTTAGTGAACTTTCTATCACTGAGATAAAATGCCCAAGTAAAGCAACTTAAAGAAGGAAAATGGCAGGTTGTTGTATAATCCCTGCACTTGGAGGCTGAGGCAGGAGGATCATGAGTTAGAAGCCATCCTAGGCTACATACTGAGATCCTATCTCAATCAAAAAAAAAAAAAGTTAGGAAAGTTTTATTTTGGTTCATGGGTTCAGAGGCTTCAATCTTGGTCCCATCACTTTGCGCCCATGGCAAGGCAGAAGAACCTCACAGCAGGGAGGACATGGTATTACAAAGCTACTCACCTCATGGAGGCCAGAAAGTAGGCAGAGAAATCACTTCTCTTTAAAAAGAAAAAAAAGCCTTTCCCCAAAATCCATTAAGCTATGAATGCATCCAATGGGTTAACACACTGATAAGATCAGAGCCCTCATGATCCAAACACTTTCCAAGGCTCTACCTCTGAACACTGTTGGATTTAGGACCAAGCCTTCAACACACAAACTTTTGGGGGACATTTCAGATACAAATCATAGCACTGACCGAGTCACAAGGACATTTTCAAGTTCATAGCATTGTTGTAAAATCATTCTGCAAACTGTAATTTACCGTGTAATTGTTTCTGTGGTGAAAGGAGGTAATCTTTAAATATTCAACTAACTCTGGGTCTGAATTCTCATTTTTTTTACTTTCTCTATTTTCCCACAAAATCTTTATTCAGGATTTTTTGTTGTTATTTTGGTTTTGGTGTGAGTGGGGTTTGAATTCAGGGCTTCACGTTTGCAAAGCAGGTGCTCTACTGCTTGAGCCACACCTCCAATCCATTTTGCCTGGTTATTTTGGAGATGGGGATCTCAAGAACTATTTGACTAAATTGACCTCAAACTTTGATTCTCCCAATCTCAATCTCCCAAGTAGCTAAAACTACAGGTTTGAGTCACAGGCAACTAGCTTTTATCAGGATTTTTGAAGTACTAAGGGCTAAGAAAGTTCTCTGAAGCCAGGTATAGTAGTAGTCACCTGTTGTCCTAGCTACTGGGGAGGCTGAGACAGTAGATTGCTTGAGCTCAATAGTTTAAGGCCAGCCTAGACAATAATAGCATGACCCCCATCACAAAAACAGTGAAGTTCTATGAAAACATCTTTGGTTTCCCCTTACCTCTATAAGACTGGAGTCTTGCATATTTAGTCAACTCAAAATAAAAATAAACAATATATCTAGTTAATTAAATACTATCATACTCATGGCTCCATCATAAGAAGCTTCTCTTCTCATCAGTTGTTTTCCCTTAACAGATTCTTAAGGACAGGCTATAGTATTAAAATTTCTAGACCAATATTTTCCAAGTAAGTAACTTCCAAAGCTGGTGACAACATAGTATTACCTTAACATTTTAAACAGCATTTCCTCAATTTGATATAAAACAGAATCTCAGACATACCATTTTAATAACACTTTTTTCTTCAAACGTGCTTGGAAAATCAGTCATCATCTCTTGTGCCACAATTTCCACAGCTTTAGATTGCAGGCCATACTTGTCTACAAACTCTTCACTAGCCAAAACTGCTGCTGCAGCACCATCTGAAGTGGGACTAAGAGAAGTAAATAATTACCTACCCCAACCTGCCTCAGTCTTAGGACTTCAGACTGGGACACAGGAGAAGGAAGCCTAGGTGTGTTTGCTGGCCAATGCAGTACTATTAAATACTACACAGGCTTCCCACTGAGGACTGAATCTCTGCTAGACCTCAGCTGTCAGTCACCGCTTAGTCTTTAGAGTCTCTCCCAAAAAGTTCTCATTGCAAAAAATCCTGGATTTGCCTCTGCAGGTACATGAGGCAACTCCTGGGGACTTTCTGAGAGTGAGTCCAAAAGGTTATTTCCTATCCTACTACAGTAAAGGTTCTACTATAGGCCCATATAGCTCTAACACTGCTCTATCCTAGATAGCTCAGTCCTGAACTCCCTTTGGAAACTGGGAAGGGACAGAATAGGGAATAACAGAAAATCCATGAATAAGACTCTTGAGATCTCCTCAAAATAGATCATTCCCTTAGAGCAAGCTGTGAAGCTAGACTGCAAACACAAGAAGCCCTCTGGGAATTCAGTAGGACTTGTTGGGGTTTTTTGTTTTGTTTTTGGAGGAACTGGGGTTTGAATTTAGGACTTGCAAAGCAGGAACTCTACCACTTGAGCCATACCTCCAGTACATTTTGTTCTGGGTATTTTGGAGATGGAGTATCTCCAACTATTTGCTGGGATTGGCCTCAAACCATGATCCTTACGATCTCAGCCTCCCAAATAGCTAGGATTACAGGCGCAAGCCACCACGCTCAGTTTCAATAGGACTTTCTAAGGGGGCAGACCCTCAGACTGCAAAAGATAACAGATGACCCAACTTGTTCACCTTCATCCTAGCCAGAATCTCCAGGGCTCAGTAAGGTGTATACTAGGAGTCCTGCAGGAACTATACCCGATATCTAGGAGACAGGCAAGATGCAATGATTAGCATCATTACAGCTATGATTTTTTTTCCTGTGTTACTTTTATTCTTAGTTACTCCAGCAGAATAAAACTTCCTGTATTAGAAGTCTACAACAGACAAAACAAGGAAAAAAACCTTTGGATTCTACTTGTCTCCTAAGTCACATTTTAATGAATAAATATAATTAAAACAACCAAAACAAATAGAAGTCATGAGAGGAGGAGGAAATAAAATATACAGTTTCTCAGGATTGAGTCAGTCTGTCTTGGGGCAGGAATCAGAAATAAGGCACTCTCATAAAATAACCTAGAATGAGGACCACATTGGTAGTTCTATAAAAGCTATACCCAGACACAGAGGGATGGTAAGGATGGAGAAGTTACATCTATTAAATGTTAAAATATGTTTTTCTTACCAACATTGTAAGACAGTCAAAAAATCAAAAACACTTCGAGATCTCATTACATCATTTATACTGTATTCATCTTGGAACTGGGAATACCTAAATAAGTAATTAGAAAATGAGAATTAATAATTGCAACTTTTGCTGAAGATGTTTTGGTCCAGAGTCAGAATAATATGTGAATATTCTTTTCACAACCACAAAGACTTCTATGAAGTTTCAACCTTGAGTAAGTAATAGTTTCAACTCCAAAATACCATATACTATATATAAGAAAAATTGTCTGGTCTTTGGATTTCTGGCATGGAGCTTCTAAAACCCTTAGAATTCTTAAGTGACAGGAGTGTCATTGTTATGTTAATGAGGCAATAAGCCCCTTGTTATCTTCCAGACTGGAGACTGATTACCAAAAAAGACCAACCGTGGAAATATAGGCTGGACTTTTGAGCTAGTTTATAATCTAGAAGGGAGAAATATACAGATATAGACACACACACACACACACACACACACACACACACACACACAAGTATACATGCTTATTTATTTATTATATTGCCGCTACTTAGAACCAGGGAAAGTTGCACAATTTCTGGAAGTCTTATGTTCCTCAACTATAAAGTTAGAAAAAAAAATTACTCTTATAGGGTCCTTGAGAAGAGTACATAAAAATGTACATATCACACAATGGCTCATATCAGAATTTAATAAAACCAGCCACTATTTTTATTGTCTGGTGGTGCTATCGTTTGAGTTATCTCCCCCAAGGATTCACATACTGAAATTTAGTCCCTATTGTGAGGTAATGAGAAGAGAGAATTTAATTTGACTATAGTATTTAGTATTAGATAAGGACATCAGGGTGCAGTGTTCGTGATTGAATCCTGGAATCTTTGTAAGAAAAGGGAGAAAGACCAGACAGTCACAGACCTATATGCCTCAAACTCTCAATCTTCTGAGCACTGGGATTATAGGAGGGCACCACCACACTTTATAACTCATCCGTACTGTGACAGTGCTATTATCAACAGAAATTGACTAATACCTGCTGCTTTTATAAAGATTCTAGTAGTGAGACATCAGTCCATTTCCCAATGGCCCAATTTTATTTAGCTAATATTGAGTACATGTTATGAGCCAGGCGTTATACCAGGCACCACAGATTCAAATATCATTGATCGTAATACATCTGATGTAATTTTACTTTGGATTATTTTTAGGATATTAATAATCATATTCTACCAGAGGAAGTTAATAACACTAAAATAATTGAAACCCATCTCAGTAATTGTGTGCATTTTACAAACTTTTTTTTTTCAGCACTGGGGTTTGAACTCAGGGCCTCATGCTTTGTAGGCAGGTGCTCTACCCCTTGAGCCACTCCACCAGCCCCTTTTTGTACTGGGTATTTTCAAGATAGGGTCTCTTGAACTATTTGCCCAGGCTGGCTTTGAACCACGATCCTCCTGATCTCTGCCTGGTGAGTAGCTAGGATTACAGGCATGAGCCACCAATGCCCTGCCTACAAACTTTTTTCGCAGTGCTAGGGAATGAACCCAGAAGCTCACCCATGCTAAGCATAAGCTCTATCAATGAGCTATATCCTCAGCTCCAGTTATATCTTTTTCTTTTTTTCCTGGTGGTACTAGGGTTTGAACGCATGGCCTCTCACTTGTTAAGGAGGACCTTTACCACTTTAACTACACCCTCAGCCCCATATCTTTTTTTTTTTTTTTTTTTTGTGGTACTGGGGTTTAAACTTAGGGCCTTCACCTTGGACCATTCCACCAACCCTATTGTTGTGAAGGGTTTATCGACATGGGGTCTCACTAACTATTTGCCCAGGCTGGCTTCAAACTGCAATCCTCCTGATCTCTGCCTCCTGAGTAGCTAGGATTACAGGTGTGAGCCACCCACACCCAACAGCCCTGTATCTTATAATGCCAGTCATTTATATTCTTATTTAAAAGAGTTATTAAGCTTTAATGGTATTCTAAATATAAACAAGCCAAAAACTAGAACTGTAAAAGTAGTCAAATGTTGACTTGAACATAAACCTTTTATAAGAAAAAAATAAACATTCAAGTTACTATATTTAAGATCTTTCTTACATTTGCTTTTCAAATATAAAGTTGCGTATCACACAGTAGGATAAACCAGATTATCATTTCATGTCTCTGAAATACTTACGGGTTATTAACTGAGTGTTTATGATTTTTCCATCCAATTTTTGCAAAGTGTTCAATTTTTGTTCCTGCAGAAAAAACAATCATACATTAGCGTGTTCATGTCTTTCTGCTGCTTATTAACAAATGTTGTAATGGTATTCAGTATTCTGCTAAATATTTCCAAATCTTTCCTAGCATAGATATCAATGCTGAGGAAGAGTTAATACTTATCCCTCCCTTAAAATTTTTTATAGTTAAATCTGGGTGTGCTTAATGAGTGGAATCAACTAAGAAGCATATGAGATAAAAAAAAAAAAAAAACAGTTCAAACTGCCTATTCTACTTAGAACTAGTGTTCAGTTTCAAACACTGGAAAATATCATCTAGGACTAGGACTACATGGTCTAAGGCAGGAGAGCACTGTCAGCGATGCTTCTAGAGTCTGCCAGACACCCTAATGCTCATGGGCTGAGTGAACTGTACCAGTCATGCCCTCCAGAGCCTGACAAATACCTCATCTTCCCTCCTTTCCTTACGACAAGGCAGAAGGGTCTTTAAAGAGTTACATCCTGACACAAACTATGTATGCTTTTTAAATCCTTTAACAGAAAACTTAAGTATGTAATAGTGTCAAGAAAACAAAAGCAGCCAGGCACTGATGGTTCACACTTGTAATCCTAGCTACTCAGGAGGCAGAGATCAGGAGGATGGTATTCAAAGCAGTTCCCAAGACCCTCTCCAAAAACACCCACTGCTAAAAAAGGGATAGCAAAGTGGCTCAAGTGGTAACAGCGCCCGCCTAGCAAGCATGAGGCCCAAAAAAAAAAAAGACAAGCCAGGCCTGGTTATGCAACTCAGCACTTGGGAGGTTGAGATAGGAGTTTGAAGCCAGGTCAGCCTGGGTTACATAGTGAAACCTGCCTCCAAAAAAAAAGGAAAAAGAAGAAGACAACAAAACAGAATAAAATAGGGTTTGAATCTTATTTGGAACCGCAAAGGCCAAGAAGGAAGAAGTCCACTGATTGGAATTGATAATATTTTGGATGGCAAAGTACAATAGAGTTCCTATTTCTGTTCTAGTTCTATCTTCTCTGTCAAGGAGAATGATCTTCAGAGCAAAAACAACATACATACAATTGAGAAAAACTTACAGCAATTGTAATAAAACCAAAAGATGGATTCCACATTGGTGGTCTTACAGCAATTTAGACTGGTGATCAGAAGGACAATATGAGTTCAATAAGAACAAGCCAAATTAAATTACTATCTTTTGTGATTGAATTAACTGTTAGCTCAAGGTAAGCATAGTATCTGGATATCAGAAAGACAATTTACTAAGTTCCTGAGGATATCTTTTTGGACAAGATAAGAAAATAAAATAATGTAGTATGGGTTTTGTTTCCTTGTTTTTAATTTTGGGTTTTTTTGTTTTGTTTTGTTTTGTTTTTTTGGTGGTACTAAAAACTAAGGGTTCTTCTGCCTAACAAGTTTAGACTAGGTTAAAGAAACAGATCTCTTCACATATGAATCATAAAAGAAAAAAAGAAAAAAAAAAGAAACAGATCTCTTTACCATAGGACTTTCACCATTGCATGTGCACTGTGACATCCAAAGGAGGATTAAAGTAGGGGAAACATTTCATAACATACTTGGAGCCACGGCAGGATCTCATGAGCTTAGTGTCCTATAAACAAACACTCATTGGGAAACAAGGATGCCTCAACCTAAAGAACTCTGTAGCACTAACCTCTAACTTCAGCAGTGATCTAGTTAATATTTCTACCCAAAACTAAATTAGAAGATCAAAGGAACTCTCACCAAACCTGAAACTGGAAAGGACTTCTATAATAGTGGATCCAAATAGACTTCAACAAGTTTTTTCAGTGGAATGGGTCAGAATATAAATTAAAGACCCAGTCCTATTCTTAAATCCCCATAACAGCCTGGGAAAAGGAGAAGCAACTAAGACAGACTCTGAGGTTCTATTCAATTGCAAGCTCATTGGAACTCAACAGTGTGATGTGACTACCAGAGAAGTTTACATGTGGTCACATATATAATTGTGTATATTACAGCAATTATACAGGTGAGAAATAAGTCTAGTGAGAAACAGCTAAAGAGAAGAGAGAAACTTAAGTACAAGGTCAGGGCTGGCTTCAGGTACTTGGAGGGCTGTGAGGTGAAAGAGGCTTGTTCTGAAGTGACACAAGATAGAATAAACTGGAGGGAGAGAGATTTGAGCTTAACACAAAAAAGAGCACTATAACCAATGGAATCACCCCAAAAATGGAATTGGTGACCTCAGCTAGTAGCAACTTCCTTGTGATAAGAAGTACAAATGCTTTATTATCTCTCTTAGAAGATGTACAAGCAATTCATGCATGACTTGGTTGAAGGAGGAACAGATAAAAATCACTTAAAAGCACTAGGCATACTGTCCAACTTAAGAGATACTTGATAAGTACTGATATCTTTTTTCCTTTTTTCTTACCTTGAAATCTATAAAAGACAATGTCTCCTTGAAAAATATTCTGCCAGTCAGTTATCACATATTTCTTAAGTCTGGGTACTGATTCAGAACTTCCAGTTAAGATTTTTGGCTGTTCAAAGGATATGCTGAGTATAAAAAGATTTTACTCTCCATGAATCAAATTATCAGGCCACAAAAATCGACTAATTCCGTAAGTGATTTAAGCTACTATAAACTTTCCTATGAATCCATTTGTGATACACATTCACAAACAAAAATTTCAAATTACAACATATCCCATGAAATTCTATAACTTGAAATGTTATTAAAATAACACTTCAACAAAAATAGTATACACTTTTATTTCAAATTTTAGATTAGGAAGCTATCTAGCTATTCCAAGTAATGTAAAACTTGAGAAAATATATAAGCTTAAAAACACCAGCAGCAGACTTTCCATTGCCAAGGACAATGGAAACTGCTAAATTTCTCTCTCTCCATACCTCCAAAAACAATACAGACCAAGAAGAGAAAAAGAAGACAGCACAAAACCACACGATCAGCATAACCAGAAAACAGAAGATCTCAAAACTTCAAATTACATGTAAGTTAGAAAAAAAGAAAACACAAAAACAAAAAAGACCAAATTCTAGCCAACAGTTACTCATGCTCCCACTGCAAACCTTTGGGGAACAAGAGCAGTCTGAGGAAAAACTGTGCAGAGGAGAGAAGAGGAGAGCTAGTGGCAGGCCTACAGTTGCACTAAAACTACCATGAGGAAGAAAACACCCTCTTCCCAAGTGTGAACACACAGAGAAAATGTTCCTTTTGAAACAGAGAGAAATTTTTAAATCGTAAATGATTTTTAAAAATAAAAATCCACACAAACTGATTTGAAAATCTAAATGAAATGGATAATTTTGTAGAGAACTACCAAAAATTGATCCCAATGAAACAGAATATTTAAACCTAAAAGAATTAGAGAAAATTACTAGGCAACTACCCAACAAAAAAAGAACCAGGCCCAGACAGTTTCACAAGAAATTCTGCCAAACCTATAAAGATCAGGTAGTCTAAAGGCTCCACAAATTGCTCCAGAGCATTAAAAGTAAAACAAAAAAAATCTTTTTTTTTATTTTTTTTTTTATTCATATGTGCATACAATGTTTGGGTCATTTCTCTCTCTTCCTCCCACCCCCTCCCAAAAAAAATCTTCATATTTCATTTTACAAAGCAATTATAAAATTAATAACTAGGGGTTTCAGGTGTAGATCACTGGTAGGGCGCTTGCCTAGCATGTACAAGGCCCTGAGTTTGATTCTTAGTACCACACAAAAAAAATAAATAAACTTGCATATGATTTTTTTTTTTAGTGGGACTGGGGTTTGATTGAACTTAGGGGTTTGCTCTTACAATGCAGGCGCTCTACAGCTTAAGCCAAACCTCCAGTCCAATTTGCATGATTTTAATGTGGTTAGAGATACCTAAATAGCTCAGTCCCAAGTTCAAAAGCAAAACAAAAAAATTAGCACCCAAACTTGAGAAAGACAAAACAAAAAATTACAAACGTTGATTTGAAATCAATAAATAAAATAAGAGCAACAGAATCTAATTCCACATCTCAAATTTTGGATATTTGGATTTAATTTTGGTAACTGTAATGCAGCCATGAAAAAACTGCAATTTCCTCTAATTTTTAAAAATTAGTGATAAAAGAATGAAATAAGCACAGCAAAATGTTAATGTTTAGGGAATCTGGGGAAAAGTGTTAGGAATTATTTGTGCTATTTTACAACATTCTCGTTAAGTCTGAAACCATTCCAAAACAAAATGTTGTGAAAAGCACATTACAACATTTCTTATTAAGTCTAAAAATAAAGCCTACCATCTTTTGAAACTGATAACTTATCAAATGATAACCATGAACAAATTTAGCTTTAAAATTATAATCTGGCCATATCTATTATCTAGAAATGGAGGCAATTTAAAATATTTATGTAAACAATAATGCTGTTGAAAATTCCATTTTCCTTTAACTTTCAAAACATGAAATGAACCCAAGCCTTGTAGCACAAAATGAAAAAAAAAAAAAAAAAAAAAAAAAAAAAAAACCAAAATGGGTCAAAAGAGCAACCGTTTTATTCCAGCTAAGTACAAAAGAAAAGTCAAAGCAAAACATGTTTCTACATCCGTAATAAATGTCAAGCAATTGCTTAATGACCCCAACTATATATAGGAATGATAAGCAACCAAAAAGTTAACACACAAAGCTTGTATTATTTAAAGTTAAATATAGCATATGAGAAACAGTAAAAAGAATGGAGATGTCACAGTACGGAAGATCTGAGTTTGAATCCTCTTCTTTGACCTACAAGAAGTTACTCAAATTCTCCAATCTTCAGTTTCCTCATATGAAAAATAAGCATAGAGCTACCTCTTAAAGTAGTTGTTTGATATGTAAATATCTGATATACATGAGGCATGTAACATAAAAAATATAATTACTGAAGAATGGGTCACACAATGGAAAGAACATGAGATTTTGTTTTGTTTTGTTTTGTTTTGTTTTTTGAGGGGGAGTTTTGGAGGGCTTGGCAGTACTAGGGGTTGAACATCGGGCCTCTCACTTTCTAGGAGGCAATTCTACCATGTGAGCCATGCCACCAGTCCAGAATGAGTTTTTCACAGATTTAATAGATTTAAAAGTGAATACAGGCTTTGCTACTTATTGACCATATGATCCTGAGTAAATCAAAAACTTCTCTGAATATCAGACTCTTCATCTACAAAATGTCATAACACTTCTGACAACTCAAGAGCTGACTGAATTGACATGTACGTGGAAATTCATTCAAGCATTCAACCACTATCCACTGAGTACTTTAAAATGCTGGGAACTCTGGGTGAGAAGGAAAATGCTTCCTTCTGGCTAAATTACATGCCGAGCACTATACTAGGCTGACAGATCAAAGGTAGACACAATGGACATGGTCGTTGCTTTCATGGTGCTTACAGACCAAAAAGGAATAAAGCACTAAATAAGCAAAACCATGTGATGATAAAGACATGAGTACAAAGAGTACTAAGTGCTGTGAAGAAATGCAAAGAAAATAGCAGAAATTTAAATACTGAAAAAGAGCCTTTCTTTTGAAGATTAATCAATTAAACAACACTAGCCTTGGACCAGGCACTATTCTAGGTTAACAGTCAATGAGCAAGTGATAAGCAAAAACCCATGCCTTTGTGGAACCTATATTCTGGGGGAAGGTGACAGTCAATGAACAATAAAATAAATATATATGTCAGATTATTAAAAGTGCTATATAAAAATATATACAATATAGCAGGAGATAGAGGATATGGAGTTCTGAGAAGGAAGATGATGAAAGAAATCAGAACGTGATATTTAAGCAAAGACCTACCTGACAGGGAGCTAGCCATTCTAGGAATGGCATAAGGCCTGCTTGAAGTAGAAATGTACTTAATGTGTTTGAAGAACAGAAAGAAGGACAGAGTGGTGAAAGAAAAATGGTAAAAGATGAAGTCAGAGGCTAATGAGAGTGGGAAGACATATTGTAGAAAAACTTGTCAACCATAAGACGGTGTCTGTGTGGTGGGAACACAAGGGAGAATTTTGGACAGAAGCATGAAATCATCTGCCTTAGATTTTTAAAACACAGCACTGCTGTAGAGAATTGCAGAAACAAGAGAAACCAGTCAGGAGTCTCTACATTTCAGGTGAGAAATTACAGTGGCTGGCATTACATTAAAAGTGACGAGAAATAATATTCTCACAATAGAGTGAAAGGGTTTGCTGTGCTAATATAATGAATACAGACTAGAATGAAGAATATTCCAGGGGGAGGGTGAATGAAGAAGATTAAGGTGCGGGAATATGATGAATGGACTTCATATACTTACATGAAATAGAACAAAGAAACCTCTTGCAACAGTTTTAAATGGGGTGGAGAGGGGGCAAAGGGGATAGACAGTGGGGGTGATCTAACCAATGCACAACATAAGACTATGTGGAATTGTCACAATGAATCCCCCCTGTACAATGAATATATCCTAATAAAAAATTTATGGTGGCAGGCACTGGTGGCTCACACCTGTAATTCTAGCTACTCAGGAGGCAGAGATCAGGAGGATCACGGTTCGAAGCCAGTCTAGGCAAATAGTTCAAGAGACCCTATCTCAAAAAAGCCATCACAAAAAAGGGCTGGTGGAGTGGTTCAAGATGAAGGCTCTGTGTTCAAAGCCCACTACTGCAAAAAAAAAAAAAAGAGAGAGAGAGAGAGAGAAAAATATTCCAGGTTTTTGACCAAATGTCATTGAAAAATGGAATTATCATTTATTGAGTAAGGAAAACTTCAGGGGTGAGGATGGAGGCAGTTCAAGGTAGAATTAGGAGTTTTAGATCTATTAAGCATGGGACGTCAACTAGACATCCAAATGGAGATATCTTTGGTAAAGTACTGGAGATATGAGATATGGTTTTTTATTCAGTTGGTTTGGTTTGTTTTGGAGTGCTGGGGACTGAACCCAAGGCCCTGCACAAGCCAGGCACACACTCTGCCCCTGAGTTCTATCCCCAGTCTGCTCTTTCTATTTTGAAAACTTATTTCTTGTTTTCATTCATATTGTCTAAGTCTCCTTGTCTGCAAGCTAACTTACCTTCTCTCACTCAGTACTTTCATTTAAATTTGTCCAAGGCCCTGGGTTCAAGCTTCAGCACCATGACAACAACAAAAAATAATAAAATAAAAAGAGCAAGCTCAGCAGCAGTGGCTCACACCTGCAATCATAGCTGCTGGGGGGCTGAGATGAAGAGGATCGTGGTTCAAAGCCAGCCCAGGCAGAGAGTTTGCAAGAACACATTTCAACCAATAATTGTGCCCAGTGATGTGCACCTGTCATCCCAAGCTACACAGAGGCTGGGATTGGAAGGATCCTGGTTCCAGACCAGCCTGAATTTGCGAGACCCCATTTCAACAGAAAAAAGCTGGGTGTAGTGGTGCACAGTCATCCTAGTGACAGTGGGAAGGCCAGCCTAGGCAAAAAGTGAGACTCTATATCAAAAATAACCACAGCAAAAAGGGCTGGAGGCATGGCTCAAGTGGTACAGTATCTGCCTCATAAGCACAAAGCCCTGAGTTCAAACCCCAGTACTTCCAAAAAAAAAAAAAAGAGTGGTAGAGTGTATACTCAGCATGTATGTGGCCCTGGGGTCAAACCCTAACACCATAAATTAATTAAATAATCACATAAATGAACAACTAGACTCTCAATGATATACCATAACAGATAACTAGTGCATGTTTTAGTTCCTGAATATTATGGACTGAATTATAGTCCTCTCCCCTAAATTCTGATGTTGAAGCCCTGGCCTCAATGTGATTGGGAGATGGTAAATTTGGGAGGTACAATGAACTCAATGTTTATGTCTCCCCCCAAAATTCAGATGGTAAAACCTAATCCTCAAGGTGATAGTGTTAGGAGATAGGGCCTTAGAGTTACAAGATCATTAGGACAAGTCATTATAAAATAGAACCCAGGAGCTCTCTTTCCCCTTCCTCATATGAGGACATAAAGAGAAGGTGCCTGCCATGAACCAGGAAGTGGGTCCTCATCAGGCGGTAAACCTGCCAATGCCTTGACATTGGACTTCTCGGTCTTTAGAACCATGAGAAATAAATTTCTATATAAGCCACCTAATTTATAGTCACCTGAGCAAATCCAGTCAAGAAAACCTGAACCCTCCCTTAGAGGACTCCTGGTCAACCTGCAGACTTACAGTTTTGTAAAAATAAATAATTACTGATTAAAACTACTGAATTTAGGGGTATTTTATTACACCACAATAACTAATTAATATACTGCTATATTCCAGTGCCTAGAACAGAGCCTAGATATAGTAAGAACTCAATAATATTTTAAAAGTTAGTTAACTGAAAAGGAAATATAAAATAACCAAAAAGATAAAAAAAAAGAAAAAAAAAACCAGGAGTAAGGTCATAGAGGTCAAAAGAGAATGTTTTAATAAGGAAGCATTCTTTATTGGGGATGTAGCTCAGTGGTAGAGCACTTGCCTCAACCATGTTAGACAAGTGCTCTGTTAATTGAGCTAAACCTCTCACCTGTGGAATGCTGAACTCTCAAACATTATTTTTTTTCTCACAGTGTACAAGACAATACTGGTTCTATCATACAATAGGAAAAATCACTCTAGCTGCACTGTCCCAATTACTAACCATCAGTCAAAGAAATAGAATCTTTACCTACAAAATAAAATCAGCTAAGAAACTTTAACCTCATAAAACACAATGCAGCCAGTAATCTTAGCTACTCAGGAGGCAGAGATCAGTAGGACTGCAGTTTGAAGCCAGCCTGGGAGACCCTATCTCAAAAACCCTTCACAAAAAATTGGGCTGGTGGAGTGGCTCAAGGTATAGGCTTTGAGTTCAAGCCCCAGTACTGCAAAAATAAATAAATAAATAAATAAATAAATCACAATGACAGGTGATGAGAGGAATCCTGATGGATTCAAATACTAAAAATAAAATTTACCTATACAAATCTACTATAAGAGCAAGCTTTAAATCTCATTGGCATATTCTAACCAATAATCCTCAATTTATAGATTATGATTAAAGGAGACAAAATTTGTGTTATTTTTCCTGCTCCAATTTCCTGCTATGGAGTATTCCAGATACTTCAGAGTCATATATTGTGTACTATATATGTTTTCTGTACAGGGACTATTCCTTCAACTTAATTTGAAAAACATTTTATATATTATACATTGTGGTATCCTCCACTGATCCTTAATAAATACCTATTGTTTCTTATCCCATGCATGCAACACTATGCCTTAACACTTTTTAACATACCGTATTTTTCCATATGTTCTTTTCCAGCACTCCCAAACATCTGAGGAGTGAGTGGGTGAGCAGACAATCCATACTTCTTGATCAGGACATCAACATGTTTATCAAGTGGATTGGTTCTATCTGAAAACTAAGACAGAGGAGAAAAACAAAATATAAGGAGTAGCTGGCATAGTAAGTGTCTCTTTAAACTACTACAGTATTACTAAGACATTCACTTATTCTAAGAACACAGTAAACAAAAAATGATCAGTCTGAATAAAATCATCTGGAAGACTTTGCAGGAAAACATAAGAAGCAAAATAATCAAGTGATTAAAGAGGTATTAATTCTTTCAAGAAATGTTAATTAAGCTGCATGCCAGTGGCTCACATCTGTAATCCTAGCTACTCAGGAGGCAAAGATCAGGAAGATCTCAGTTCAAAGTCAGCCCCAGGCAAATAATTATCAAGACCCTATCTCAGAAAAAAACGCATCACAAAGGGCTGGTGGAGTGGCTCAAGTGGTAAAGAGTACTTGCTTAGCAAATGTGAGGCCCTGAGTTCAAAATCAGGTGCTTCGAAAAACAGAAATGTTTATTAAGCATCCAATACATGCAGGGGATACAGGAGTGAACAAATCAGCTAAAGGTTCTGCTCGTCTGCAAAAAACTGAAACTAGATCCATGTATATCACCCTATACCAAGATTAACTCAAAATGGATCAAGGATCTTAATATCAGACCACAAACTCTTAAGTTGATACAGGAAAGAGTAGGAAATACTCTGGAGTTGGTAGGTATAGGTCAGAACTTTCTCAATGAAACCCCAGCAGCACAGCAACTAAGAGATAGCATAGATAAATGGGACCTCATAAAGCTAAAAAGCTTCTGTTCATCAAAAGAAATGGTCTCTAAACTGAAGAGAACACCCAAAGAGTGGGAGAAAATATTTGCCAACTATACATCAGACAAAGGACTGATAACCAGAATATATAGGGAACTTAAAAAACTAAATTCTCCCAAAACTAATGAACCAATTAAAGAAATGGGCAAGTGAACTAAACAGAACTTTCTCAAAAGAAGAAATTCAAATGGCCAGAAAACACATGAAAAAATGCTCACCATCTCTAGCAATAAAGGAAATGCAAATTAAAACCACGCTAAGATTCCACCTCACCCCTGTTAGAATAGCCATCATCAGCAACGCCACCAACAACAGGTGTTGGCGAGGATGCGGGAAAAAGGAACCCTCTTACACTGTTGGTGGGAATGTAAACTAGTACAACCACTCTGGAAAAAAATTTGGAGGCTACTTAAAAAGCCAGACATCGATCTACCATTTGATCCAGTAATACCACTCTTGGGGATATACCCAAAAGACTGTGACCCAGGTTACTCCAGAGGCACCTGCACACCCATGTTTATTGCGGCACTATTCACAATAGCCAAGTTATGGAAACAGCCAAGATGCCCCACCACTGACGAATGGATTAAGAAAATGTGGTATCTATACACAATGGAATTCTATGCAGCCATGAAGAAGAATGAAATGTTATCATTTGCTGGTAAATGGATGGAATTGGAGAACATCATTCTGAGTGAGGTTAGCCTGGCCCAAAAGACCAAAAATCGTATGTTCTCCTCATATGTGGACATTAGATCAAGGGCAAACACAACAATGGGATTGGACTATGAGCACATGAAAAGTGAGAGCACACAAGGGAGGGGTGAGGATAGGTAAGACACCTAAAAAATTAGCTAGCATTGTTGCCCTCAATGCAGAGAAAACTAAAGCAGATACCTTAAAAGCAACTGAGGCCAATAGGAAAAGGGACCAGTAACTAGAGAAAGGTTAGTTCAAGAAGAATTAACCTAGAAGGTAACACCCATGCACAGGAAATCAATGTGAGTCAATGCCCTGTATAGCTATCCTTATCTCAACCAGCAAAAACCCTTGTTCCTTCCTATTATTGCTTATACTCTCTCTACAACAAAATTAGAAATAAGGGCAAAATAGTTTCTGCTGGGTATTAGGGGCGGGGAGAGGGAAGGGGCGGAGTGGGTGGTAAAGAAGGGGGTGGGGGCAGGGGGGAGAAATGAACCAAGCCTTGTATGCACATATGAATAATAAAAGAAAAAGGAAAAAAAAATAGTAAAAAAAAAATAAAAAAATAAAGGTTCTGCTCATCTGGCATTTATATTTCTGCAAAATGGAGACTGAAGATGATGGAGACAAGAATAAATTAAAATGTAAATAATAATGCTATAAACAAAGAATAAATCTGAGTAGAAGGATAGAGACTGAAGTAGGAAGTGCTGCTTCATAAATAACAGGAGAAGTCTCATTTTTTTTGAGGTTCTGGGATTTGAACTCAGGGCCTCATGCTTGCAAGGCAGGCGATCTTCCCACTTGAGCCACACTGCCAGCCAGATGTCTCACTCATAGTGATATTTAGGCAGGGATGACTGTGAAGGCCTGAGGCGTAAGTCAACTGAATAATCTTGGGAGAGGAATATTCTAGGCAGATGGAACAGCAAGAACAACAAGACACTAAGGCAGGAGCAAAATCGGGAATTTCAGAAAAGGAACTAATCAGGATGAGAATAGAGTGATACTCAGAAAGTATAACTACTTCTGGGCTGGGCACAGTGGCTCATTCCTATAACCCTAGCAACTTGGGAGTTAAGAGATCAAGGGGATAATTTGAAGCCAACCCAGGAAAAAGTTATGAGACCCCACCTCAACAAACAAGCCTGGTGTGGTAATACATGCCTATAATCCAGTTACTCAGGAGGCATAGATAGGAGGATCACATCTGAGGCTGGCCTGGGCAAAAGGCAGGAGACTCTATTTAAAAAAATAACTAAAGTAAAAAAGGGCTAAAGGCGTGGCTCAAGTATTAAAAAGTACTTGCTGAGAAAGCATAAGAGACTGAGTTCAAACCTCAGTACCACAAAAAAAAAAAAGAAGAAGAAGAAGAAAGTATAAACACGTCTTTGTGCATGGTTCTAGAACCAGATCTACTCAAGAACAGAAGATCACAGTTCCCCACCACAATTATTCTATGAAGGGAAAGAAAATTTTTTTTTGTCCATGTATCATACTACATGCTAGCATACAGCCTGACACAAAAACATACCATAAATGCTCCAAAAACATTTCATAAATAATTGTTGAACAAAAAAGTTAATTTTTTGGTCCACAGAGGGGTTTTAAAAGTGACATTGTTCAGCTATTCTTCTTGATTAAGAAAAAATAGTCTTAAAGGAAGAAAATAAATAAGTAAATAATTTTAGTTATATATAATTAACAGCCTTCTAATCAAAAGGTAAAGCTATAGCTGGAGGTGGAGCTCAAGAGCTAGAGCACCTGTCTAGCAAGCACAAATGCTAGGTTCAATCCCTAGTATGGGGTAAAAAAAAAAAAGTAAAGACAACAGAATTAATAAATAAGTATTGTGAACTCTGAGTTAATAAATAAGTATTGTGGAAACTCTGGCAGTAGGAGGCATTTTTCTTCTCAAAAAAGGGCTGAGAGTGTAGCTCAGTGGTAGAATGTTTGCCTAGCATGCACAAGACTCTGGGTTCAATCCCCAGCACCACACACACACAAAAAAAGCTTATCAAAAACATACAGAAAACATTTTTAAAAGGTGGGGAGATATTTAAAAAGAATTCTAATTAAAACAATTAAGATGTGACTTTTGGCCAGGCGCCAGTGGCTCACGCCTGTAATCCTAGCTACTCAAGAGGCAACGATCAGGAGGATCACCATTCAAAGTCAACCAGGCAAATAGTTCAAGACCCTATCTCAAAAATACCTAACATAAAAAAGGACTGGTAAAGTGGTTCGAGTGGTAGAGTGCCTGCATAGCAAGCGTGAGGCCCTGAGTTCAAACCCCAGTACTGCCAAAATATGTGACTTTTGTTTTTGACCATGTAAGACTAATAGGAACCATATTTGCCCTTCTATCTTAAACAAAACCTGCAGAAAATAAACAAAATAACTGTTGTTAGTCACTGGACAACATAAAATGAAGACCAGGAACCTCTGAGAGAAAGAAATAAGGTAAGAATTATAACTGTCCCCAGATCCCTACCTAGAAAGAATATGAAGAAATAACAGAGTCCAGCAGTCTCCCTAAGTTAAAGTATGGTCAAAAAAATAATAATAAATTTTAAAAATTAAAAGAAATTTCAAGACCAAAAATTTTAAATTCTTGCATGTGCATTATATAGCTCAGTTGATGTGGAGAAACTCTTTGTCAGTACCATGTTATCATCATTTGTATTTAAATTGTTATGTGATCGGTTGAGTGTTTCCCTGACCTTAAGTCTGTGAAAATATGCCTCCCAAAAAAATAAATGGTGCCCAAACACCAAGGTAAAAGTGAATGTGCTTAATTTAAATGATAAGGTGAAAATTTGAGATTTGTTGAAAAGCAGCATGTCTTTAGCAGAAGTTAGGCAGCTTTATAGGAAAAATGAATCAAGCATCCACAATACAGCTCTGAAGTCTATGCATCCTGAGCACATGCAGTTTTTCCTCAACAGTGGCCTCCTTGGTATCACCTGACCACAGATACCAAGGGTCTATTGCAACAAGAAAGTATGAGCATGACAAAGAAAAACATAGAAGATATTGATATGCGTGTGTGTGTGTGTAGGACTCATTTGAATTTTTAGAGATTAAAAAAATACAAAGTCTAAAATGAGAAATACACTGAGTGCAATGAACAGCAAATTAAACACTACAACATAGGTTAGGAAACTTGGGAGCACAGCTATAAATCCAAAATAAAACAAGTATTTAAAAAAAAAAAGGACAAGGAAAATATAAAGCATCAGTGAACTGTGGGAGAATAATCAAGAAGTTTAGTTAACTATGTGATTACAATTCCAGAAGAGACAATGAAGGGACAGCAGGAGGGAAATATTTTATGATACAATAGACAGTTTCCAAATCTGATAAAAAGTAAAACCCACATATCCACGAACTTCAACAAACCCCATGCATAAGAAACATGAGCAAAACTACACCAGGGTACATCATAATAAAATTACTTAAAGCTCCGATGAAGAAAAAATCTTAAAAGCAACAACAAAAAAATTAAATACAGAGGGACAAAAATAAGAATGACAGCAGACTTCATACAGTAAATGAAAGCCAAAAGACAGTAAGACAACATCTCTAAAGTACTAAAAAAATTTTTTTAAGGTTAAGAAAACTAGAATTCTGAACCCAAAAATATATCTGTTTTTAAAAATAAAGTAAATAAATACTTAATCAAGGCAACAAAAGTTTAGAGAACTTATCACATACAGACAAGTAATATAAGGGATGTTAAAGGAAATTCTTGGCCTGGGGATGTAGCTCAGTGGTAGCATACTTGCCTAACCTAGCATGTGAGAGACCATAGAGGGACGTTTAAGACAACATGAAAGAATGAAAATGATGAATATATGGAGAAATATAAGGATGCTCTTATTTTAGACTATCTTTAAAAAATAATTGACTACTTAAGGGTTGATGGCATGGCTCAAGCAGTATAGCACCTGCCTAGCAAACACAAAGCCGGGAGTTCAAACCCAGCAACACACACACACACATACACACACACCACACACCAAAGAACAACTGACTAAGAAAAAGCAATAATTATTGTGGAGTTAACATCATACATACACAGGGCATGGTGGTATACATCTATAATCCCAATACTTGAGAAGTAAAGGTAGGAGGATCTCAAGTTGGAGGCCAGCCTGAGCTACATAGTAAGCTGCAGGCCAGACTAAACTACATAGCAACACCCTGATGCAAAAAAAAAAAAAAAACAAAACGCAAACATACAGGTACAATATACTTCTAGGAGAAGGTAAACAAAAATCACTTTCTAAGGTTCTTATTAAACTATAGTAAATAGACATATTACTTAAAGTTAAAGCCATGTACTGTAAACCATAAAGCACCCACTAAAAGCAAAACAAACACCAGCAGTATAGTTAATAAGCTTATAAAATGAATTATAGAAAATTCTTAACAGAAAAGAATGAAAAAGGAACAAAGAAGAAACTGAATAAACAGCAGGAAAAAAAAAAGAAAAATAGCAGGACAGTGGATTAGAATCAGCTATGCTCTAGAAAATGTTAAAACAGGCTCACGGGCCAGGGGTGGGGAAGAGGGAGAGCCTTAATTGGTAGCATTTGCTGATTTCTATATTGCAAATACTCCTACTATGACCAATTTGAATCTACTAATAATGAGTGTGACTGAAAGCAAAGATGGCAGATGTGCCTAATAATCATATCTTGCAAATTGGTACAAGCCAGTAGGCATGAGTTCCAGCAAACCACTCACTTAAAACGAACCCTATCAAATAGGGTTGGTTGAAATTGAAAGGTTGTAAAAAAAAAAAAAACAAACAAACCCACATACACAATTAAATGACAAAGATTATCATATTGGTTACAAACCAATAACCAACTATATGCTTGTTACCTACAAAAACTCAACTCAAACATAAAGACAAAACAAGGGAAAGCATGGAAAAAATACAGTATTCTAAGTCTATTCAAAAGAAAGCTGGAGTGAGTGACTATGTTAAAGTAAATATAACATCAAAGAGTTATCAGGGATAAGAGGACATCTCATAATGATGAATGGGTCAGTTTATACACAAGACATAAAATTGTGTTTACTTACCTAATATCAGAGCTTCAAAATACATGAAACAAAAACTGATAGAACAGCCCAGCACAGTGGTAAACAGCTGTCATCCCGGCACTCAGGAGGCTGAGGCAGGAGGATGTCCTGAGCTCAGGAGTACGAGAACAGCCTGGGCAACATAATTTTCCACTAAAGTGTTTGTAATATGAAAAGGCTCACAATGACAACTCTGACATCTAAAATCTAGCCTCGAGCTGACTTAACCACTCCCTTCTTGTTTACTGCTGACTTGACAACCAAGTTCCCAAGTTCAGATGAACCAAACAAGTGGCAGGAGGACATCTGAGCGGCAACATTCCATCTCCGAAGAAATTACAAAATTAAGCAAAATAAATAAACTAGAAGGAAGTGTCCATATCAGGAACATAGATCCATGTCACCTCATAAAGATAGCGCTTCTGAAGTCCCTTTCTTAGCTACACTCAGGATTCTACCAAAAAATATCATGGGGAAGCCATATACGTTAATTATAAATGTTCAGGCAGCCATGTTAAAGTAAAACAAATAGGTAGAATTAATTTCAATATATTTAATTTAATATATCCAAAATATTATAATTTTGACAAGTAATAAATGTAAAAAATTGAGACATTTTACATTCTTTCTAAGTCTTCAAAATCCTATGTGCAGTCGAGTGCTAGTGGCTCACACCTATAATCCTAGCTACTAGGGAGGCACAGATCAGGAGGATCACAGTTCAAAGCCAGCCTGAACAAATAGTTCAAGAGACCCTATCTCAAAAATACCCAACAAAAAACAGGGCTGGTAGAGTGGTCAAGTGATAGAGTACCTGCCGAGCAAGTATGAGGCCCTGAGTTCAAACTCCAGTAACACCAAAAAAATCCTTTGTGCATTTTATACTTATAACACATCTCACCTTGGATGTAAATTTTCACTGATCTATATTAAGATTTCATAAATTTACAATTATAAATGTGGACTCACAGACCCAAGTTATTCAAATACACTTAAAAGTTTTCTAATAACAAAACAGCATTAATTTAAGTTTAAATTATTAAAATTAACTAAAAAATTCATGTCCTCAGTTGTACCAACCACATTTTAAGCACTTGATAGCCAATTGTGCTAGTGGCTCCTAGCCATATATGCCTGTTGTGAAAAATATTCCCAGTGGGACAGCACTCTGTTTTGTTTGCAGCTCACTTATAAAAGGGAAAAGTTGTGCTGGTGGAGTCGCTCAAGTGGTAGAGCGCCTGACTAGCAAGCATGAGGCCCTGAGTTCAAACTCCAGTAGCACAAAAAAAAGGAGGGGCAGGGAGTTGTAATCTGAAGGGAAATCCACAGGGAAAATAGAAAACAGAACTGAACAGCAAAGAAGAGAGATGAGGTCTCTGCCATAGAGACCCATCTAGGGACCATAACAGAAACCGCAAACTATTTTTATCACATTCACCTGGAGCCAGACTGGTGTCGAAGGTCTGTAATTCCAGCACTCAAATCAGCTTTAGCTACCTAGTGAAATTGAAGCCAGCTGGGCTTACATTGCTCTGACTCAAAAAACCAAAACAAAACACATTCAGATGGGCTATTCAATCACCTTAAGTTTTAAATTTAGGATCAGAAATACAAGGCTCTGGTGGCTCACATCTGTAATCCCTGCTACTCAGGAGGCAGAGATCAGGAGGACTGCAGTTCAAAGTCAACCTGGGCAAATAGTTTGTGAGCTCCTATCTCAAAAATACCCCACACAAAATAGGGCGGGCAGAGTGACTTAAGTGGTAGAGCACTGTCTAGCAATCGTAAGGCCCTGAGTTCAAACCAGAATCTGTGTACATACATGGTGTCATCTTTCAATTTTTGAGTTGTATCAACTTACTAAATAACTATGATAAATGTTTTATGTTGCTTATTAACAGACTATGATAGTCTAATGGCAAAGTCTTCTCATAGTATTATGATAATTCTAAAATAACCATAATTACTCACTTTTGACCCAATGGATCCCTTTTCCATCTTCTCAAACCCAAGAGCCAAGGTACAATCGGCCACACCTTAAAGGAAAATATAATTATTTTTAAATTTTAAATCTCCAGACACCCAACAAATGCCATTAAATACTTCAATTTAAATAAGTATATCAATTTACATAAAATGCAAAAACATACTACGATCCTACAAAATTTTTGCTAAGTGAAAAACTACAGAGAAAATTCTTATATGCTAGATAAGAAGAAAAATCAAGAAGGTGCTTAATTCCTCTCTCGAGTTCTATATGCTAATAAAATTTTGATGAATGTGGAAATATGATTCAGTGAAAAACAAAAAAGCCAATTCTGAATTTCAAAACATTTTTATATTGAAAAAAAAAATTTTTTTGCAGTACCGGGGTTTGAACTCAGGGCGTATACCTTAGATACTCCACTAATCCTGTTTTGTGATAGGTTATTTTGAGACAGGGTCTCTTGAAATATTTGCCCGAGCTGGCTTGGAATCACAATTCTCCTGATCTCTGACTCTTAAAAAGCGAGGATTACAGGCATGAACCACTGGCACCCAGCTATTGAAAACTTTCATGTTGAAAATCTCAACAAAATTGTTTGGGGGTGAGGGACATCTAACGATGGTAAAGTTCATCTGAAGAGCAAAAAATAACAAAATTGCCAAAATTTTTCTTTAAAAAATGAAAGAGCCAGGCACAGTGGCTCAAGTCTGTAATCTTAGCTACTCAGAAGGCTGAGATCAGGAAGATCATGGTTGGAGGCCAGCCTGGGCATGGTGGTACCTCCCAGTTAAGGAAGGAAGTATAAAACAGAAGGTCAAGGTCCAGGCCAGCCAGGGCAAAAAGTGAGACCCTGTCTCACAAATAACCAGAGTAAGCCAGGTGCTATCATTATTAAACAGTAAGATTACAAAATTCCAAGAATTAAAACACTAGGTAGTAGACAATAATTATTCAAATCAGTAAAGCAGAATAGAATAAAAGACCCTAGAATATTTGGAAATACAGAACATGATATATATCCATCAGAACATATGGCCACCAAAAAATCTGTACACAAATGTTTATGGAACACTTCATAGCAAGCAAAAAAATAGAAAAAACAATGCCCATCAGCTGATAAATAGAGAAAATACAGTATAGCCTTACCAATGGCTTACTTGATCATAAAAAGAAATAAAATACTGATACATGCTACAAAAAGAATGAACCACTGGGTGCCAGTGGCTCACTCCTGTAATCATCGCTATTCAGTAAGCAAAGATTAGGAGGATCACGGTTTGAAGCCAGCTCCTGCCAGAAAGTTCACTGAGACCCTATCTTGAAAAAACCCAAACAAAAATATGGCTGGTGGAGTGGTTCAAGTGGTAGAGCGTCTGCCTAGCAAGACTAACAACCATGAGACCCAGAGTTCAAACCCCACTACTGCAAAAAAAAAAAAAAAATTAACCATTACAACATTACACTAGCCAGGCACCAGTGGCTCATGTCTATGATCCCAGCTACTTGGGAGGTTGAGATAGGAAGGATCACAATTCAAGGTCAGCCTGGGCAAATAGTTTGAGAGATCCCATCTCCAAATAACCAGAGCAACATGGACTGGAGATGTGGCTCAAGTAGTAGAGTGCCTGCTTTGCAAGAGTAAAGCCCTGAGTTCAAACCCCAAATGGAATCAAATCATTATATGATTCCATTCATATAAATGTTAAAAATAGCTAAATCCACTGAGGAAAAAAAGTAGTGGTTTCAAGGTGCCAAGGAAGGAAATGTGGAGTGACTACTAATGAGTATAGGATTTCTTTTTGGGTGACTAAAAATGTTCTAACATCAGATATAGCACAATTCTGTGACTATAATAAATGCTAAATTATAAAAAAATAAATTCACCTCAAAAGGGTGAATTTTATGATACATAAACTATATATCAATAAAACTTTCAATGAAGGCTATAGATGTAGTTCAGTGATACAGTGCTTGCCCAGCATGCGTGAGGCCCTGGGTTTGACCCCCAGCACTAGCAAAAATAAATAAGTAAAGATTTTTTTTAAAGGAATACATGATAAAGCAATCCCTCTGATGGTAACATAGAGAAATGGCTAAAAGGAGGCAATAGCCCACATTTACTTAAGTACACTAGACAAATAAGCATTCCTCACCACCCTGAATCAGTTGTCGGGCCATAAACAAAGCAGTAGAACCAGTAGCACAGTTGTTGTTAACATTGATTATAGGAATTCCGGTCAGTCCCAAACTGTGATAGATAGCCCTCTGTCCACAGGTAGAGTCACCTATATATAAAAAAAAAATTGAATACCTACAACACAGGAATTACAGGGTTATAATGCAATACAGTACTACTTTGAGGGTATTTCCAGAGACAATTATTAGATCCTGAGGGGCTCTGACCTAATGAATGGATTCATGAAAAATTTTGTTACTAGCCAGGAATGGTGATGCATACCTGCAATCCCAGCACTCAGGAGTTGAGACAGGATAATTATGAGCTTGAGCTCAACCTGGGATACATAGCAAAGACCCTATCTCAAAAACAAAACAAAATTTTTTTTCTCTTTTATTCATATATGCATACAATGTTTGAGTCATGTCTCCCTCCTGCACCCTCCCTTACCCTCACCCCTCCTTTCCCCCACCCCCACGCTTCCAGGCAGAAACTATTTTGCCTTTATCTCTAATTTTGTTGAAGAGAGAGTATAAGCAATAATAGGAAGGAACAAGGGTTTTTGCTAGCTGAGATAAGGATAGCTATACAGGGAGTTGACTTGCATTGCTTTCCTGTGCATGTGTGTTACCTTCTAAATTAATTGTTCTCGAACTAACCTTTTCTCTAGTTCCTGGTTCCCTTTCCTATTGGCCTCTCTGCTTTAAAGGTATCTGCATTAGTTTCTCTGTTGAGGCAACAAATGCTATCAGTTTTTTGGGAGTCTTACCTATCCTCACCTCCCTTGTGTGCTCTGCTTTATCATGATCAAAGTTCAATCCCCTTGTTGTGTTTGCCCTTGATCTAATGTCCACATATGAGGGAGAACATACGATTTTTGGTTTTTGGGCCAGGCTAACCTCACTCAGAATGATGTTCTCCAGTTCCATCCAATTACAGCGAATGATAACATTCATTCTTCTTCATGGCTGCATAAAATTCCATTGTGTATAAATACACATTTTCTTAATCCATTTCAATAGTGGGGCATCTTGGCTGTTTCCACAACTTGGCTATTGTGAATAGTGCTGCAATAAACATGGGTGTGCAGTGCCTCTGGAGTAACACTGTGTCACATTCTTTTGGTATATCCCCAAGAGTTATTGCTGGATCATATGGTAGATCAATGTTAATTTTTAAGAAGCCTCCAAATTTTTTTCAGAGTGGTTGTACTAGTTGCATTCCACCAGCAGTATAAGGGTTCCTTTTTCCCCACATCCTCGCCAACCTATTGGTGGTGGTGTTGCTAATGATGGCTATTCTAACAGGGTGAGGTGGAATCTTAGCTGTGGTTTTAATTTGCATTTCCTTTATTGCTAGAGAATGGTGAGCATTTTTTCATGTGTTTTTGGCCATTTTGAATTTCTTCTTTTGAGAAAGTTCTGTTTAGTTCACTTGCCCATTTCTTATTGGTTCATTAATTTGGGAGATTTAGTTTTTTGAGTTCCCTATATATTCTGGTATCAGTCCTTTGTCTGATGTGTAGCTGGCAAATATTTTCTCCAGTCTTTGGTGTCTCTATCAGTTTAAGACCATTTTTTGTTAACAGAAGCTTTTTATTTTATTAAGTTCTATTTAATCTATGCTATCTTCCTAGTTGCTGAGCTGCTGGGGTTCCATTGAGAAAAGTCTTGCTATACCTATTAGTTCCAAAGTGTTCCTACTCTTTCCTTGTACCAACTTTAGAGTCTGGGTCTGAGTGAGCATTTTTTCAATTGTTTTTGGCCATTTGAATTTCTTCTTTTGAGAAAGTTCTGTTTAGTTCACTTGCCCATTTCTTTATTGGTTCATTAATTTTGGGAGAATTTAGTTTTTTGAGTTCCCTATATATTCTGGTTATCAGTCCTTTGTCTGATATGTAGCTGGCAAATATTTTCTCCAGTCTGTGGGTGGTCTCTTCAGTTTAGAGACCATTTCTTTTGTGACAGAAGCTTTTTAGTTTTATGAAGTCCCATTTATCTATGCTATCTCTTAGTTGCTGAGCTGCTGGGGTTTCCATTGAGAAAGTCTTTGCCTATACCTATTAGTTCCAAAGGTATTTCCTACTCTTTCCTGTAACTTAGAGTTTTGGGTCTGATATTAAGATCCTTGATCCATTTTGAGTTAATATTGGTATAGGGTGATATATATGGATCTAGTTTCAGTTTTTTGCAGACTGCTAACCAGTTTTCCCAGCAGTTTTTGTTGAAGAGGCTGTCTTTTCTCCATCGTATATTTTTAGCTCCTTTGTCAAAGATAAGTTGGTTATAGTTGTGTGGCTTCATATCTGGGTCCTCTATTCTGTTCCACTGGTCTTCATGTCTGTTTTTGTGCCAGTACCATGCTGTTTTTATTGCTATTGCTTTGTAATATAGTTTGAAGTGGGTATTGTGATACCTCCTGCATTGTTCTTTTACTGAGTATTGCCTTCTATTTCGTGGCCTCTTGTGTTTCCATATAAATTTAACAGTAGATTTTTCAATCTCTTTGATGAATGTCATTGGGATTTTGATGGGAATTGCATTAAACATGTAGATTACTTTTGGGAGTATAGACATTTTTACTATGTTGATTCTACCAATCCATGAGCATGGGAGATCTCTCCACTTTCTATAGTCTTCCTCAATCTCTTTCTTCAGAAGTGTATAGTTTTCCTTGTAGAGGTCATTCACATCTTTTGTTAGTTTACACCTAGGTATTTGATTTTTTTTGAGGCTATTGTAAATGGAATTGTTTTCATATATTCTTTCTCAGTTTGTTCATTATTAGTGTATAGAAATGCTAATGATTTTTCTATGTTGATTTTATATCCTGCTACCTTGCTATATGTGATGTCTAGGAGCTTTGAGTAGAGTTTTTGGGTCTTTAAGGTATAGGATCATGTCGTCTGCAAATAGGGATATTTTGACAGTTTCTTTACCTATTTGTATTCCTTTTATTCCTTCTTCTTGCCTAATTGCTCTGGCTAGGAATTCCAGTACTATGTTGAATAGGAGTGGAGTAGTGGGCATCCTTGTCTTTCCTGATTTTAGAGGGAATGGTTTCAGTTTTCTCCCATTAAGTATAATGCTGGCTGTAGGTTTGTCATATATAGCTTTTATAATGTTGAGGTACTTTCCTTCTTTCCTAGTTTTCTTAGAGCTTTTATCATGAAATGGTGTTGGATCTTATCAAAGGCTTTTTCTGCATCTATTGAGATGATCAAGTGGTTTTTGTCTTTGCTTCTGTTAATGTGGTTTATTACATTTATTGATTTTCGTATGTTGAACCACCCCTGCATTCCTGGGATGAAGCCTACTTGGTCGTGGTGAATAATCTTTTTGATGTGTTGTTGAATTGGTTTGCCATTATTTTATTGAGGATTTTTGCATCAATGTTCATTAAGGAGATTGGCCTATAGTTCTCCTTTTTGGAGGTGTCTTTGCCTGGTTTTGGGATAAGTGTAATACTGGCTTCATAAAATGTGTTAGGCAGTTTTCCTTCCCTTTCTATTTCATGGAACAGTTTAAGGAGGGTTGGTATCAGTTCTTCTTTAAAGGTCTGATAGAATTCAGCAGAGAATCCATCAGGTCCTGGACTTTTCTTTTTGGGGAGACTCTTGATTGCTGCTTCAATTTCATTTTGTGTTATAGATCTATTCAGGTGATTAATTTCCTCTTGGTTCAGTTTTGGATGATCATAGTATCTAGAAATCTGTCCATTTCTTTAAGATTTTCAAATTTATTTGAATATAGGTTCTCAAGTAGTCTCTGATGATTTCCTGGACTTCCATGGTGTTGTTGTTTTATCTCCCCTTTTGCATTCCTGATTTACTGATTTGGGTTTTTTCTCTCCTCATTTTAGTCAGGTTTGCCAGGGGTCTATCGATCTTGTTATTTTTTCAAAGAACCAACTTTTTGTTTCATTAATTCTTTGTATGGTTTTTTTGGTTTCTATTTCATTGATTTCAGCTCTTATTTTTATTATTTCTCTCCTTCTATTTGTTTGGGATTTGCTTGTTCTTGTTTTTCTAGGAGTTTGAGATGTATCATTAGGTCATTGATTTGAGATCTTTCAGTCTTTTTAATATATGCACTCATGGCTATAAACTTTCCTCTCAGGACTGCCTTTGCTGTGTCCCATAGGTTCCGGTAGGTTGTGTTTTCATTTTCATTGACTTCCAGGAACTTTTAATTTCCTCTTTTATTTCATCAATGACCATTGTTCATTAAGCAATGAGTTATTCAGTTTCCAGCTGTTTGCATGTTTTTTGTCTTTATTTTTGTTGTTGAGTTCTAGTTTTAATGCATTGTGATCAGATAGAATGCATGGTAAAATTTCTATTTTCTTATATTTGCTGAGGCTTGCTTTGTGCCCTAGGATATGATCTATTTTGGAGAAGGTTCTGTGGGCTGCTGAGAAGAATGTATATTGTGTAGAAGTTGGATGAAATGTTCTGTAGACATCAACTAGGTCCATTTGATCTATGGTATGTTTTAGATCTTGGATTTCTTTATTGATTTTTTGTTTGGATGACCTATCTATTGATGATAATGGGGTGTTAAAGTCTCCCACGACCACTGTGTTGGAGTTAATATATGCTTTTAGGTCCTTCAGGGTATGTTTGATGAAATTGGGTGCATTGACATTGAGTGCATATAGGTTGATAATTGTTATTTCCTTTTGGTCTATTTCCCCTTTTGTTAGTAAGGAATGTCCTTCTTTATCTCGTTTGATCAATGTAGGTTTGAAGTCTACTTTGTCAGAGATAAGTATTGCTATTCCTGCCTGTTTTCGTGAGCCATTGGCTAGGTAAATTTTCTTCCAGCCTTTCATCCTAAGCCAGTCGCTTATTTCTATTTGATGACAAGGTCTCCTGTAAGCAACAAATTGTTGGATTTTCCTTTTTAACCCAGCTTGTCAAATGGTGCCTTTTGATGGGGGAATTAAGTCCGTTAACATTAAGTGTTAGTACTGATAGGTATGTGGTGATTCCTGTCATTTAGTTGTCTTAGTTGTTTGAGGGTTTGATTGTGTGTATCTAAATTGATGTTACTCTCTACTTTCTTGCTTTTCTTTTCCTGTAGTTTGGTACTGCCTGCCCTTTCATGGTTATGTTGGGTTTCACTTTCTGTGTGCAGAATCCCTTGAAGAATCTTTTGTAGTGGTGGCTTTGTGGTCATATATTGTTTTAGTTTCTGCTTATCATGGAAGACTTTTATTGCTCCATCTATTTTGAATGATAGTTTTGCTGGGTAGAGTATCCTAGGGTTGAAGTTATTTTCATTCAGTGCCCGGAAGACCTCACCCCAAGCTCTTCTTGCTTTTAATGTTTCTGTTGAGAAGTCTGCTGTGATTTTGATGGGTTTACCTTTGTATTTGTTTTTTCTCTCTTACAGCCTTCAATATTCTTTCTCTAGTCTCTGTACTTGTTGTTTTAATGATAATATGTCATGGGTAGTTCTATTTTGGTCAGGTCTGTTTGGAGTTCTGGAGGCTCCTGTACCTGTTATGGGTAGTTTTCTCTAGATTTGGGAAATTTTCGTTATTATTTGTTGAATATTTACGCATTCCTTTTCTTGCACCTCTTCTCCTTCTTCAATGCCCATGATTCTCAGTTTGGTCTTTTGATGGAGTCAGTAAGTTCTTGCATTTCTTTTCACAGGTCTTGAGTTGTTAACTAATAGTTCTTCGGTTTTTCCTTTAATTACCATTTCATCTTCAGTTCTGAGATTCTGTCTTCTGCTTGTTCTAGTCTGCTGGATTGGCCTTCCATTTTGTTTTGCTTCTGTTTCATTCTTTTTCTGAGGTTTTCCATATCCTGAGTCACTTTCCTCTTAATATTGTCTATTTTCATCCTGAGTTCATATCTTATTATTATCATTGTTCTTTTGTTTCACTTTGGTGTTTATACAGTCCTTCTATGGTTTCTTTTATTTGTTCTTGTGCTTTCTCAAATCTCTATTTGTTGTCTTTGGAATTTCTTGAGTGTCTCCTGTACATTTGGTTGACCATATTCCAGTATCATCTCTATAAAATTCTCATTGATTACTTGCTCAATTTCTTCTTTTCAAGGTGTTCTTGGGGCTTCATTGGGTTCTTTGGCATAGTTTATTCTTCGTTTGTTGGAGTCTGGATCTGGGTATCTGATTTCTTCATTTCCTCTGGTTCCTGTACTAATTATTATTGGGGGAAAATGTTTCCCTCTTTTTTCATCTTCCCATCATTCCCTTGCTATTGTTACTGTCCCTGTACTGTGTAATTCAGTATTGTCCTAGCTTGTAAAATAAAACAATGGTGATATCTAGAATGGAAGGTGAGAGAGGGAAAGCAAAGAAGGTTTTAAAAAGACAAAAAAAAACACAAGTTCAAATGCAATAAAGTTTCAGTCTTAATAATTTTGGTGTTAGTTCTTCAGCCTCCAGTCCTGAAGACTTCTCAGTGTCTGTGAAATAGTTCTGTTGTTTTCTCATCAAAGGGGAAAAAAACAAAAAAAACCAAAAACAGCAACAACAAAAATATCCCAAGTTCAAATGTAATATAGTTTCAGTTAGTCCTTCAGCATCTGATGGTGTTGTCTCATTAAAGCAAGAGAAAAAAGGGGGGAGTCTGGAGACAGCTTTGTGAATGTCTATCTGAGGCTGCGGCTCACCTGCCTCCTACTGTCAGCCATCTGCTGCTGCAGGGTTTGTTTGTTTAGACTTCTCCTAGACACATGTCCCTTTTGTTTTTCTCCAGTATACAGCCCTACCAGACTTTTGCAATTGCCGTCTTTTTTGTGTGAGGAGCGGCTCTCCCTGCCTCTCCGGTGGTGCTTTCCACACAATAGCCGCAAAAAACAAAAATTTTTTATAAAAAGTCAATAAATACAAATTTTAAGGTGACAAAGAACAAAATTGTATCTTCTGAACACTAATAAAGATATCCTTACATAGTGAAACTATGGGTAATTTTTTTTTTAAGACCAAAACTATTTTTATCTGTTTTGGCAATGCAATAATGGCGAAATATTTTACATTAACCTAATATACAAAGGAAATCTATGAATGATGGGAATATGACCCTGAGTTCTACATTTTGAGGTTTAAAATTCATACACATCCTCTTCACTGTTTGTGTAGTTGCTGCTAGCTTTAGGTGAATAAATTTAGAACATACAGTTTACCACCTACCAAAAACGTAGCCAACACACGCCTGCTCCACTGCTGAATAAGGGATCTGTGCATCAGCTAATGCCTTCTGGCCTATAAAAACAAAAAGGATTTATTAAACAGTACTTTAAGTATTTGTTTTAGGTAAATAAACACTCAATTTAGAGTTTGCTCAGAGCAAATTTACCTCTATATTCAAGTCAAATGACAAATGCTTCATCAAATCACCTTAGATCTCTCCTTTTGGAAGGATTCATTGTTCTAAAGCTACACCATCACTTGGCCATATCTTCTTTTTCATACTTAGCACTTTCTGTCCTAACTTCACACCTAACTAAAAACAGATTAAATCTTTAGATTCTCAAAGCTCCTTAATGGCAAGTATTTTATTTGGTTCATCTATGGCTTCATCACACATCTAGAGGGCAAAATGAGGTAGAATGTCATTGCTGGGGACAAGGTAGGGAGGGGTGGTAAGAACTGCTGTGCTTGTCTTACAAAGCCAGGATCAAGAGATGATTCTATGAAACAAGATATGGAACTTTAAGGAAGCTATCAGAAGCTGTAGAAATGTGATAGGCCCAGGGACTCACACCTGTAATCCCAGCTACTCTGAAGACAGAGATAGGAGGATCGAGGTTCAAGGAATCTCAGGCAAAAGCAAGTAAAACCCTATCTCTCAAAAAAAAAAAAAAACAAAAAAAACCCACAGGCCAGGCATGGTAGCATGCATACACCTGTGGTCCCAACCCAAGGCACAGAAGAACTATAACACTTCAGGCCTTAAGCTGAGGAACCTCATGCTACCCCATGCTACATGCTACCATCCTCAAAAGCCTCAAGCCAATCCCTGAGGCTGGGAACCTCATACTGCTATCCTAACTGTCAAAGGTCCAGTGCCTGTTGTCATTCAATGCCCCAGCTTGCAAATACCAACCAAGGGCCTGGAATATATGAAGATGCTTCTCCTCACCTACCCTTGATTTCTGTCTAGGCAGAGCAGAAGGACCTCCAGCCAGCTAGTCTGTGACAATATGACTATAAATTTTTTTGTTCTTTTTTTTTCAGCAATGCAGGGGACTGAACTCAGGGATGTGCATGGAAGGCAAGGGCTTTGCCACTGAGCTATACCCCTATTCCAAAGCTAAACTTTAAAAGTTTACTCTATATTAAAGTTCCTTATTTATCTCCTAACATTGCTTGCAAAAGGATTATATTAACAAGTAAGTTGCTGGGTGCTGGTGGCTTGTGCCTATAATCCCAGCTACTCAAGAGGCAGAGATCAGGAGAATAGAATTTCAAAGCCAGTCCAGGCAAACAGTTCGCGAGACCCTATCTTGAAAAAACCAACACAAAACAGAGTCAGCAGAATGGCTCAAGATATAGGCCCTGAGTTCAAACCCCAGTACCACAAAAGAAAGAAAATAACTAAAGCGATATATTGGGGGCATGGCTCAAGTAGTAGAGCACCTATCAAACAAGCAGAAGGCCCTGAGTTCAAACCCCAGCTCTAGCTGTGCACCAGTGGCTCAGGCCTGTAATCCTACTCAGGAGGCAGATACCAAGAGGATAACAGTTTGAAGTCAGTTCAAGCAAATAGTTCACAAGACCCTATCTCAAAAAAAACCCTCACAGAAAAAGGCTAGTGTACTTGCTCAAGATTTAGACCCTGAGTTCAAACCCCATTACCACAAAAAAAAAAAAAAAAAAAGCTCTGCCAAAAAGAGTGTATATCAACATAGAAAATAAATATTAAATGAATAGTATCTACCTTGAAAACCAACATCAATCGAATCTCAAGAGTCTTCCTTTTGTGGGGTGAGATACCCTGATTTCTCATATAATATCTAAACATTGAGTTGCACAGCACATTGATGCAAAATCTAAATATACATACCTCATTACAGAGGGTACTCATGAAACCAAGCAAGAACATCTTAGGATAACCACAGAAACTCTTTTTTGAGTTGCTCAGCAACAAGCTGTCAGGAAGTAGGCGGGGCTCCTGAGGAGCGGTGCTTGTGCCTAGCAACAGCTCCTAAGGTCCTCCAGTGCTGGGATGAAGGGCTTTCCCAGCACTCTGCTAAACAACTGGCATATAGCTTGGACTAGTGCCCATTTCTCTTCTCTCTCATACACACACACACAATTATTTAACATTCATTTATTCATTTCGACTGCGCAAAGAAGTTCTCGTTTGTCCTTTTTAAGAGAGAGAGAAACAGAAAAAAAAAAAAAAAAAAGAAGTGGATCTCTGCTAGAACTCAGACCTGTATTCAGGCAGCTGCAGCCTGGCCCAAGTGTGTATCTCTGAGTAATGCCAAGTGCTTAGGGAACAAGCTCCCATATATCTAAGAATTCATCTCTCTTTGAGTTCCAGCTTACAAATATTCACCCAAGTCCACTTAGTAGCACTCTCACTAGAATAAGCAGTAACAAACCACATCACCTCATTTAGTCATGCAGTACCCTACTGCTAAAAAAAGAATTCTCTAGGTTGACTCAGTGAAGTGAAGAGATAAAAACCACCATACAGGTATCTAATACATTTTTAATGGGACTGTCCCTGTTCCAGGAGAGGAAGGAATTGATTTTGCTATCAAAACAAACACTAGAATCAAGTTATCCACTAATGTCCTATCTTTCTTTCCCACAGCCTCCTTTACCATCCCAAACAAACAGCTGGATGACACCTAAACTCATCAGCCGCGGTGTGCTGTGGCTATGTAGCTGCTAGGAATGCCCACGAACACGTCCCTTCTCCTTCATGTCCCTTCTCCTTCCCACGAGGCTACCAGGGAGTGTGTCCACATGAGTGCTCCTTTTGTGGTTGTAATGCTGCCCCACTCATAGAATAAGAAAAAACCACACAACAAGCAATGACTGTTCAGAGACTGACTTTTCTCTATTACCTGCTTCTTTTGCCATCTCAGGGTAGTCACTTGAATTCTTAGCTCCAGGCTTCATGAACTGGCATATTGAAGAAGATAATAGAAACAAATATAGTCAGATTTTTTTCACAACAGAGCGTCATGGAAATTTATTCAAAAAAGAAACACTATTAAGCACCTGTCACATTCCTCTCTAAACATAAATAACATACTGTCCTTGCCCTCAGAGCACTTTCAGCCTAAGGTAAAATAGGCAATTTCACTACAGTGTCATTAAGTCAGAATGATTTGGAAGAGACATCTACCCAGCTAAGGAGAGAGAACCACTAAGGCTTCCCAGAGGAACCACCATTTAAATTAAGTCCTTAAATATAAGTAGGAGTCAGCCAAGTAAAAGAGAAGGAAGTGAGACAATGTGGCATAATTTTTCTCTGTGGAAAAACTGCAAAGAATTTGATATAACAGAGTTATATCAAATAACTCTGGAAAGTTATAAGGATATAAAAGTTAACTTAGGACCAAATGATAGTAACATCTAATATTAGACACTTACCACAATATGCATTGCACATAAATTAACTCATTTAATCCTCACAACTTTATGGTAAGAAAACTAGGAAACAGAGAGATTAAGTAACCTATGCAAGGGCACGCAGCTAGAGTAGTGGTGAAACTGAAACTTCAGACAGCCTGGGCCTGGAGGCAACTCACAAAGGACTTTATATGTCCTGTTATTATGCCTGTCTTTTCCTGAAGACAATGGATTTTTTTTTAGTATTGGAGTTTGAATTCAGGGCCTCATACTTGGACACTCTACCCCTTTAGCCATACCTCTAGTCATTTTTTGCTTTAGTTATTTTTCAGACAAGGTATTGTGTTTTTGCCTGGGTCAGCCTGGGATGGTGATCCTCCTACCTATACCTCCATGTAGCTGAGATTACAGTTGTACACACCACACTCAGTTTATTGATTGAGATGGTGGGAGGCTCACTAAATTTTGCCCGGGCTGGCCTTGAACTGCAATCCTCCAGATCTCTGCCTCTTGAGTATCTGGGATTACAGGCATGAGCCACCATACCCAGCCCAAAACAGTGGATTGTTTGGCAGGGAGAGGGGTAGGACTGGGGTTTGAAATCAGGGCTTTGTGTTTACAAAGCAGACACTCTACCACTTGAGCCCTGTCTCCAGTCTAACAACGAATTTTTTTATTTCTATTAGCAAATTATTGTTGTACTGGGAGTATGTTGTGACATTTACAAAAGTGCTTACAATAAATCTTAGTTAGATTCACTCCCAAAAATCTATTTTTTAATTATTTTGATTATTTTTTGTGGTATAGAGATTTGAACTCAGTGCCTTGGGCTTGCTAGCAGGCACTCTACAACTTGAGCCATGCCTCCAGCTGCATAATTTAAAAAAAGAGACTGAAATAGAAGAACAATGGCAACTGGCTAAACATACTTTTATAATTCAATAATCATATTCCTTGGTATTTACCCAAAAGAATTAAAAAGTTATGCCCACACAAAATTTTGCACATTAACTATTTAGAAGCTTTATCCATAGTTTAGAAAACTTGGAAGCAGCCAAGCGCCAGTGGCTCATGCCTGTAATCGTAGCTACTCAAGAGGCAGAGATCAGGAGGATTATGGTTCAAAGTCAACCAGGGTCAAATAGACACTATCTTGAAAAAATTCTTGTGGGAAACCAGTAACTAAGTAGAATGAGAAGAAACTATGAAATGTGCAAGGCCATGTCAAAGATCTTTGTGCTGAGAAGGCAAGGCCCTGCCTGGCACAAAGGAGGTGAGCAAGGTTCAGCAAGGCTGCCTTGCAAGTAGGGAGACTGAGGCAGTGGAGATAGACTTTGGTATGAGCATGGCTCTGTCCGTGTCTTGGCTGATAGGCACAGACCCAGCCAAGGGGAGGCAAGATTCAGCAAGGCTGCCTTGCAGGGAAAACAGGACATGCTGACATAGTCTGGATAGTCTCCAGTAAATAACAACATGCCACAGCTGCACTGTTCCTGCCACCTACAAGAACTTGACCTGTACTTTACCCTGCTTTCACATACTTGCTGTATAAATAAATGCACTTGAAGGCAGAGGGGGTCGCCAGCATCTCTCATCAAAGGAGTGCTGGACTCACCTGACCCCAACTTTTTCTATATGTTTGTCTTTGTGTCTTTTTTCTCAATCCCCAGTCACTACCAGTCAGGTCAAGGGACCTGCTCACGCTGCCCATGAGACCCAGCACAAAACAGGGCTGGAGGGATGGCTCAAGTAGTAGAGCAAGTACCTAGTAGGCTCTGAGATCAAACCCCAGTGCCACAAAAAAAAAAAAAGCCAACCTGGAGAAGTATCTCAAGAGACCCTATCTTGGAAAAACCCTTCACAAAAAAGGGCTGGTAGAGTGGCTCAAGGTGTAGGCCCTGAGTTCAAACCCCAGTACTGCGAAAGGGAGGGAGGGAGGAGGGAGGAAGGAAGGAAGGAAGGAAGGAAGGAAGGAAGGAAGGAAGGAAGGAAGGAAGGAAGGAAGGAAGGAGGGAAGGAAGAGAAAAACTTGGAAGCAATCAAGAGCCCTTCAATAGGTGAAGAAGCTGGGCCTTGAGTTAAAAAAACTCCAGTACTACAAAAAAATAAATAAATAACAAACAAACAATGGAGTAGGTTGGGCCAGAAGGTACATTACTGTAATCCCAGCACTTGGGAGATGGATGCAGGAGGATCTTGAGTTTGAGGCCAGCCTGGGCTATGTGATGAGACCCTAACCAATATAATATATTGTTTTTTTCCTAGACTTTACTCTTCCTATGCTGTCCTGGACTGCTTTTCTCTGTCTCTGAATCACTACCATCCTCAGATTCCTGTCCTCCTCCTCCTATTTGAGATCTATTGTTTCAAGATCCAGTATCTTCTTCCTTAAGTTTGTTCTACCACTTTGTGCACACATTGTCTTGTTAGCTTAGTAAGGGCTGTGTAAACAAAAAATTACAGTGCTTGCATCTCAGAATAAATTTTTCCTATTGTCAAATTTGAATCATATTATTAGGAACTAGAATTCTAGCATTAAAAATGTGCTCTACTACTTGGGAGGCTGAGATTGGGAAGATCAAGAAGATAATGTGTGTTGATATGTTTCCTTTTTATTTATTAGACTGGCTTTTCAAACCAAAGCTCCCCTTCAGTTCTGAGTTTTCCATTATTTCTCTGGTAACTTCCTAGGTTCTGTGCTCATTATGCTTTTTTCCGTAACTCATTAACTGGACTCTAGATCTCTCTTCATTGATCCTTTCATTTTTTTCCGTCCTAATGCTCATTAGAAACATTACAATCAGTTCTTGCTCCATCCTTTGGGAGATTTCCTTTACATTATCTTCTATTGAATTGTTTTGGTTTTGGCCAAAATACACTTGATTTTCTTGAATTCCTTTCTGTATTTCTGTTTTTTTGTTGTTACTGGTTTTTTGTTTTTTGTAATTGTGATTTGAACTCAGGGCCTACACCTTGAGCCACTCCATCAGTCCTTTTTCTCTTGTGCACATGTGATGGATTTTTTTCAAGATAGGATCTCAAGAACTATTTGCTGGCTTCAAACCTCCATCCTCCTGAACTCTGCTTCCTGAGTAGCTAGAATTACAGGCATGAGCCACTGGTGTAGGCTTTATTTATTTTTAAAAGCATTCAGTTCCTTTGTTCCCAGGTATATTTTGGTTTACCTCCCCCAAGGTTGTTACAGCTTACTTTTCTTTTGTTCCCTAAATGTCTTCTGCTCCCTCCTATTAGTTGTTTTTTTTTTTTTTTTTTTACCCCTTAGTTTGTTGTGGTTATTGAGTAGGGGATTATCTGTGCCTTGACGGAAATTTCCTCAAATGTCTGGTGATCCTAGCTCAGTAGTTAAGACCCTGGGTTCGATCCCCAGAACCACAAAAAAAAAAAAAAAAAGATAATAAAAAACTTGAAGGGCTGGGTGCAGGAGGCTCAAAGTTCAAGGCCAGACAGGGCAAAAAAAAGTGAGAGATATAAAAACAAACTAAAAGCCAAAGGACTGGAGGCATTTATTCAAGTAGTAGAGCACTTGTTTAGCAAGTGTGAGATTCTGAATTTAATCCCCAGTACCACCCAAAAAAAAAAAAAAGAAAAGAAAGAAAGAAAGCTCCCTGTGCGTGAGTGAAACTTATCAACTATTAAACTTCACCTCAAGATAACTGAGTGGCAAGCCAGCTTTTTTCTGAGTCGTTTCAGTTTTCCAAACCTCTGCCAGGAAGGTGGAATATGTGTGGGTGCCAGTTTTCTGGGAACAGGGCTGGGAAGCACCACTATTCAGTAAAGAGAATTCCATTAAATCCTTTTCTTTCAACTGGGGCTCACCCTTGCTTAGTGGCCCAGCTGATTCTGTAGCTCCTCATCTGCTCAGTTTCTCTGGAGAAAAAGCCCCAAACTCTATTAAGGAAAGGAATAGTCATCTGGTAGGAAAAGAGATCTTGGGAGCTGGGGTATGGCTCAAGTGGTAGAGTGCCTACTAGTCTACTCCCCTCTCAGTCAGCAGGACCCTGTTCAGGAACTTGTAAGTTTCTCAACTGAGTCAATGACTGCCACTCCATCAGCTTTTAAAATTTTTGGGCCGAGCACCTGTGGCTCACATGTGCAATATTACCTGAATAGAAGGCAGAGATCAGAAGAAGCAGGGGCAAATAGTTTTTGAGACCTTATCTTGAAAAAACCCATTACACAAAAGAGCTGGTGGAATGGCTCAAAGTGTAGGCCCTGAGTTCAAACCCCAGAACCAAAAATAATAATTTTTGTTCTAACATCTGTTACTTTTTAATGTATTTGTTAACTTTTCTATTTACATGTTTTGATGGAATTGTGTGTTCTCAGCTCACTGGTAAGATAATAAAAATTCTGAGGCTGTTTTAACAGAAAAAGAACACTCCCAGGAACTCTTTCACAAGCATATCCATCTAATATTGTTCAACTAACATTCATTAAAGGTCTTCAGGCCCAGGCACTTCCAGGGTGGGAGGGATAGAAGTAGTGAATAAGATGCCATAGCTTACATTAGGAGGCAGAATAGAAACACAATTTTGGTACAGTACCGAGGTAGAGCTAAGTTCCAGGCTCTGTGGGAAAGCCAGAAAGGATCAGAGGTTTCCTGGAGAAGCTAAGATCTGAACTTCAGGAAGGCAAAGAAGTTAATCAGGTACAGTTAGTGACAACAACAGAAAACCAGTTGATAGCTCCAACAGCAGAAACTAAAGGCAGCCGACCTCTGGGTGCAGAGGTGGTCGGGGTGACAGGAAAGGAAGCGAAGAAGCCTCGGTGCTCCGCGGACACTGCAACAGAAAGTCGGAGGACCCCGGTCCCCTGGCTCTCGTCGATGGCGTTTCTACTCCCCACCCTCACCTGGAAGGATCCCTGAGAGGGCGCCCACATGGACAGCCCCCCCATAGCAGGGCTGGTGACATCCACCGCCCGCCTGCCTCCCTCCGAGCTCACGTCCCTCGGACTCCACTTAGAATCAAAGTGCGAGTGGGCTCGCGTGGGGCTCCTTCACGCGCTGACCAGGAGAAAGGGGAAGACATGGCCACAGGAACAAGCCTGCGACACTACGACCTCAGAGCCATCCCCATCGTACCCCGCCCCCACAGTCAAGAAGCCGGAGCTGGAACGAGGCTGCCCCGGGCAAGGAAGGACAGACAGCGGGACTACGCAGGCCCTGTCCGAGTCCGCTATTCTTTTCCCGTCACCTCAGGGCTCCGAGACTTCGCAGGGACAGAGAGGCCGGTGGCCGCCTCCCGCCGCCCGGGGCTGTTTACCTTGGTCAAGCCAACCCCCACCACGAACACCCGGCGCAGGCGCGGAGACTTCCTCTCGTAAGAAGTCATGGCTCTACCGGAGCGGGGCTGACGACCACAGCGGACACGGACTCCGGGAGACCGAGAACCCGGACCAGCAGGCGACGACTGAGGCGAGCCGAGACCGCAGGGAGGGGGCGTGGCTGAGGCCAGGGGAGGGGCGGGGCCGAAGGGAGGGGGCGGGGCACGCGCAGCTGCGCTGAGAGTGAGAGCTGGGACGTCTGTCGCGCGCCGCAGCGATGGCGGCGCCGGCTGAGCTTGTCCTTTAGGGAGCGTTAGCTGGACCTTGGCCCTACCCCACCCCCCAAGGCCCTGGTCAAGGGTCGATGCCTGGAGTCTGCTGGAGAGGAGAAGAGCGGATGGCCAGAAAGAAGGTTCACGACAAGCCTGGAGGAAGTCGGGCCCCGGTGGCTCACACCTGTAATTCTAACCCCGGCAAATAGTTCGTGAGACCCTATTTCGGAAAGACCCATCACAAAAAAGGACTGGGAGAATGACTCAAGGTGTAGGTCCTGAGTTCACGCCCCAGTACCTCAAAAAAAAAAAAGCCTGGAGGAGATTCTTTGGAGTGTTGAAAATGTTCTGTTTACGGTTAGGGTAGTGACAAGAGTCCATGCATGAGCCTAAACACACGATGTGCACCAAAATGGAGGAGGGAGACTTTACTCGTAGCTACGATGTCTAAAACAAAAAACCCAGGCTTTGATCACGACCTACACACCCTTCCTTTTTAACCTGAATCTTTCTCATGTTTTGTTAGGATTAAACAAGGTAACAGAAACAAAGCCTTAAGTACTTAATAGAAGAAATTATACGTGTAATTATATGTATATAATTAATTTAATTAATATAATTTAAATAAGCAGTAGATCATTGACCTGATGCTGTCTCTGTACCGAGTTTCTATCTAAGGAACTGTAACCTAACTTAGTATATAAACAAACAGAAACCTTACTTAAGTTTATATATAATAAATAGACCTAGTTGGTCTATATTTTTTGTAAAAGACAACCAGATATCAACCAATTGCAGACTGCCAATGGTTCACATGATGTCCAAATAAGTCAACTTATTTAATTATTTAATTATTTCTGTACTTCCATTTTTCTGTCTATAAATGCTGCATGTACTGGACAGCTGAGCTCTCTGAGTCTCTTTTGGTTATGCTGATGCTCTTACCATTTCAGCCACTCCGCTGGCCCAGATGCTTTTCCTCTTGACAGACATTATTTTCTTTTTGTGTGCACATGTGGGAGGATGCAGTCTTGCTTTGTTGCCCAGGCTGGTCTTCAACTCATGAGCCCAGGTGATCCTCCCACTTCAGCCTCCCAAGTAGCTGGGACTATAGACATGGGCCAACATGCTTGGCTTTAGTTTAGTTTAGTTTTGTTTTATTTTTTGGTGGTACTGGGGTTTAAACTCAGGGCCTTGCACTTGCTAGGCAGGTGTGCTACCACTGAAGCCATACCTCCAGTCCATATTTGTGCTTTCTGTTGAAGATTTTGCTATTCAAAAATTGCTCCCCTCCTCCACTGGAGCAGTGGTTCATGACCATAAACCCAGTGACTTAGGAGGGAGAGATAGGATCATAGTACAAGGCCACCCCAGGCAAAATATAACAAAACCCCATCTCAATCAATAAGGTAGGCATGGTGGCTTATGTCTGTAATCCCAAGCTATGCAGGAGGCATATGTCAAAGTATCATGATCTGAGGCCTCCCCTAGGCAAAAACACAACACACTATCTGAAAAATAAAGTAAAAAAGGAGGGGTGTGACTCAAGTAATAGAGCACCTGGCTAGCAAGCTCCAGGCCCTTAGTTCAATCCCCAGTACTGCTAATAATAAGAAGAATTGCTCCCGAGCATAGTGCTGAAGTTCTCTCCAGTGTTCCAAAGTGCAAGAAGGCTTAGTGATGCGCTTTATGGAAAAAATATATGTTAGATAAACTCACTTCAGGCATCAGTTATGGTGCTATTGGCCTGTGGTCCATGTTAACAAATCACCAGTATATAATAATTATACATAAAACGAGGAAGCTTTTGTATTGATTGGTTGGCAAAAATGTGAGCAGAGGCTTTCAGAAACAATATTTCCTCAAGGAAAAATGGTTTAATATTCATTCACTAATTCACTGCTACATTGACTTTATTAGCAGTACTGGGGTTTAAATTCAGGGCCTCATGCTTGCTAGGCAGGCGCTCTACCACTTGAGTGACTCCACCAGCTCTTTTCTGTGTTGGGTTTTTCAAGATAGGGTCTTGCAAACTATTTGCCCAGGCTGGCTTGGAACCCTGATCCTCCTGATCTCTGCCTCCTGAGTAGCTGGGATTACAGGTGTGAGTCACCCGCATTTGGCCTGCTTCATTGACTTTAAAGAGCATAACTACCATGAAAACAGAATTGAAAATCAGGTATAGTGCCACTCACTTGTAGTCCCAGTTACTTGGGAGGCTGAGGCAAGAAAATTGCTTAAACCCAGGAGATTGAGACAAACTGGGCAACGCAGGGAGACCACATCTCAGTGAGAGAGAGAGTGCGAATGAAATGAATGAATCTCTATTCCTAAGGATGTGTGATAGATTCCCTCATAGGTCTCCATGGCAAAAATCATCAGACAGCTGGAAGACCAGCCACCTCTAGTACTTGTTCCCAAGACTGCTAGAATTCAAGACCAGGTACTCATTAGAAGAAACTTCATTTGGCTGTCAGAAGAGGACTGTGGAGAGAATGGGGACACATCATTGCTGGCAGCTGAAAGCACTGGGCAGGAGAGGAAGCAGGACAGCTACAAGGAAAGAACTTTGAGGTATTCTGAGGCTGAACACCAAGCAGCCTCAGTAGGGACTGAATCCTGTCTCTGGGAAGAAGGATGTGTTCAAACTGACGCTGACAGCCTCAGGATACTGCAAGGGAGAGGAAACTGGAACCACGGGGCTTATATAGTGGTTTTATTTCGAAAAGCCTAATAGAAGTTGTACATTTGTACCCACCCCACTACCCGTAATAAAAATCACCATAGATGATTTGGGGGGAGCTTTTGGAGAGGGCAGCAGGGACTAGGCATCAATATTTAGAAAGGTTCTCCCACATCAGCCCCTTTGTGCTAAGTAAAGAACTACCAAGTAAGGACTAGATCAACTTAGTAAAATCTCTAACTGAGCAGGGAAGAGACCAAGAATCTCCCCTTCGCCTATCAATTCCTTGCACAAGGCAAGGCACAGTTGTCCATTTGTTTCTTAAAGTTCGATTGGCTGATAAAGACAGCAGTGTGATTGGTGGTCAGACACAGCTAATAATCAAATAGAACAAGAAGTCATAGAATAATTGTTATGCAACAAATACTGGCTAGTCATTAGATATTGATTTTAAAACAGGAGTCCCTACAGGTGGAGAGAGGATGCTAAGGTAGTAAAAGGTAATCCTTAATGCTGAAAAGGTTGAAAAAGAACACTTCCCTTTCCATGTGAAGGACTAAATAACTTAAGATAATTTCTAAATTAAGATAACTTAAGGTTTAAATTACTTCAATTTCTAGGAAAAAAAAGAAGAAGAAGAAGATAACTAAGGTAGCTGGGCACCAATAGCTCACACCTGTAATCCTAGCTACTCAGGAGGCAGAGATCAGGAGGATTGTGGTTGAAAGCCAGCCCTGGGCAAATAGTTCTCAAGACCTTATCTCAAAAAAATGCATCACAACAAAGGGCTTGGAACTTCCTGATCTCTTCTGTGTCTCCCAAGTGTCTAGGATTATGAGTGTAAGCCACCGGCACCCTGGTTTATTTTAGTTTTTGTCATTGTGTTCTGTTTTCATTTGCATTATTTATTCTGGACTAAGTAATACTTGATGCATGAATAAAGATTCCAATAGTAAAAAAAGATCAAATTGTAAAATTTTCCGTCTCTACCTCAGACTTCATATCCTCTCTCCATCCTTATTTTATGCAAACACATTCCAAACATATGCATATATACCCAAGTAATGTTACCCCCCTTAATAACAAAATTTTGGCTTTCTTTATACACTATCTGCATCTTAATTTTTTCATATACTAATATATTTTGAAGATCAACTCATATCAATTCATAAAGAGATTCTTGTCTTTTCCTATAGCTGCAAAGAATTCAATTATGGACATATCATACTTTATTTAACAATTTCATATTGATGATAGTTTCCAGTCTTTTTGTTGGGGACTAGGCATAGACCTCGTACTGGGAAGTATTGGAGATTGCAAAGCCTCTCCAAGTAGGAGTTTGCAAAGCTCTCCTACTCTCATTTTTCCTGGCACCTGGTGTCTTGAGCTTTGTTCCCGAATCTCCTTTGAAGAAAACAACTTGCTGTGTCTGCATACCAGCCCCCCACCCCATGCAAAACTAGATAAAGTAGCAGACCTGTTTGGAAACTCCCTAATGCCAGATTAATCGATAGCTATAGATAAGGTGTCCTGAGTGCCAGATGTTTTGTAGTTAAGCTTCAACAAGCATGAAGAAAATAGCCGACCAGTCCCAATTCCTTTAACCTTAGATCAAAAGAATTGCTGACGTATATTTCACCTGATTCATTCCCTTGCACTGACCTATAAAATAAGCACTCTGGCTTAGGTAGGCGCTCACATATCTCACCAGGAACATGTGGTCCTCCCAACCCCAACTTTGTGTCTTTATGTCTGTGTGTCTGTTTCTCATTCCCCATTGCTCCCAGTCAGGTTCAGCAGCTTAGCCGCTTAGGTGGCGGCACTTTTGCTGTTATAAATAATGCTGCAATCAATACTCTACTCCTATGTGGGTATATCTGTAGGTTAAATATCTAAAATTGGAATTTCTGGGCCACAGAGGCTTGCTTTGTGTTTGTATGTGTAGATATATACATATATATGTATGTTTATGTGTATATATTACATACATATGTGCACATATATATATATGTATGTTTATATGTATATATATTTTGAGATGGGATCTTACTATGTTACCCAGGCTGGCCTTGAACTCCTGGGTTCAAGTGATCCTCCTGCCTCAGCCTCCCAGTAACTGAGCCACCACCACACCTGGCCGAGGCAATGCATTCATGATTCTGACATATATTTGCCAGACACTCACCATTAAAGACATTTCCATCAGCAATATGAGAATATATATTGTTTTCGTAACTAAAATAATTTTTAAATTGTAAATATTCAGGTAATTCTAGCTACTTGGGAAGCTGAGATCAAGAGGATTAAGCCTTGAGGCCAGCCCAGGCAAATCATTCCCCAGACCCCATCTCCAAAATAACCAGAGTAAAATGGACTGGAGATGGCTTAAGCTGTAAAGCACCTGCTTTGCAAGTATGAAGCCTTGAGTGCAAACCCCAGTCCCACCAATAAAAGACATTACTAAGTGAATAATTTTCCTTAAAACCAGTAAGATTTAAAAAAGAGAAAAAAAAAATACTGTTATTCCCTATGGCCATATTGTTACTACTATTCTTGTCACCTCCCTTCCTTCTTTTCTAATCTCCCAAGGAGTCCCAGAAATAATAACATTGTAGAGAGAGGGGAGAGGGCAGCAATTTTCTTTTAAAAACCAGCCACCAAACTTTCTCTTTGGAAGAGAACTTCCTTCAGTCAGTGCATTCGTTTGCTAAGACTATCAGAACAAAACACCACAGACTTGGTGGCTTAAACAACAGAAATATAGGTTCTCACAGTTCTGGAGATAAAAGGTCATGTGTTAGCGGGTGTAGTTTTCACTGAGACCTCTTTTATTGGCTTGTAAATGGCCACCTTCTCCCTGTGTCGTCACACCATCTTCCCTTTGTACCCATCTGGGTCCAAATTCCCTTTTCTTATAAGGACATCAGTCTTACCAGATTGGGTCCACTTTAATGACTTCATTTGAAAGACCCTGTTTCCAAATATAGTCACAGATTTAGCACTTCAGTATATAAATATGGACATAATTCAGCCTGTAACAGCCTTAGCCTCTGTGTGTGTGTGTGTGTGTTTGAAGTCCGAGCCTTGCTAGGCAGGCATTCTTTCCACTTGAGCTACTCTACCAGTCTTTCTGGTTTTTTTTCTTTTTTTTGCGGGTTGAACTCAGGGCCTACACCTTGAGCTACTCCACCAGCCCTTTTCTGTGAAGGGTGTTTTGAGATAGTGTCTCAAGAACTATTTGCCCAAGCTGGCTTCAAACCTTGATCTTCCTGATTGCTGCCTCCTGAGTAACTAGGATTACAGGTATGAGCCACCAACACCCAGCTCGTTACTTACTTCTTTATTTATTTATTTTTTTGTGCAGTACTGGGTTTGAACTCAGGGCCTACACCTTGAACCACACCACCAGCCCTTTTTGTGAAGGGTATTTTATTTTCTGAGATAGGGTCTCTCAAACTGTTTGCCCGGGGCTGGATTCTCCTGATCTCTGGCTCTTGAGTAGCTAGGGTTACAGGCTTGTCTGTAATTCTTCAGGGAGTGAAGGACTTGGAGTTGTGTCCAATAAATAACAGAGAAAGAATATGGAGCGATGACCAGATGATCCATAATCTAGATTTGTTCATTGGAAATGAGCATGGCATCAGACATGACCAGGATGGCTATGAGCCCCAATTAATTTTGGGGGAGTGCTAGGATTGAGTCCTGGGCTTCACACATGCTAAGTATACACTCAACCCCTCAACTATCCTTCCTTAGCCAGGCACCGGTGGCTCACACCTGTAATCCTAGCTACTCAGGAGGCAGAAATCAGGAGGATTGTGGTTCAAAGCCAACCCAGGCAAATAGTTCATGAGACCCTACCTTGAAAAAAAACCATCACAAAACGGGGCTGCTGGAGTGATTCAAGCAGTAAGAGCGTCTGCCTAGCAAGAGTGAAGCCTTGAATTCAAATTCCAGTGCCATCAAAAAAAGTTTAAAAATGAAAATAAAAATCACTAACTTTGAAGGTCATGCAGCTGAGCAATATGTTATTAGTCTCCACTTGGCTCAGCTGCATATGACACCTCTGACTGAAGCTGCCAGATGAGTTGACTGTTACCTTTTGTTCTCTCCCCCTGTTCTACAAGGAAAAATGCCCTTTGTATCTTAATAAATAAATGCAATGTTATTTCCTGGGGGAAAGAAACTAAAAAGACATGTAAAACTTACTCATCAGTAAATTTTCACTAGATTTAAAAACCCAGGGCATTTGAGGTCTTCATAAAAGTGGAATTATGTTTAACTTGCAGGGAAATAATGCATTTGTCTAAAAAAAATTATAGGAGCTGGCCTAGGAGAAGAAAATCAATTAATATCATAAGGATGTTATAGTAAAAAAGAGAAAAATATCCCTTAAGTGACAAGGATGGTTATCCAGTCTAAGTGCTCCACTCAGCACAGTCTTACTGCCCATTGCCCCCCTTCTCCATCTTTCCCTCCTATTAAAAGCCCTTTCTTGCTGGGCACAGTGGTACACATCTGTAATACCAGCATGACTGTAATCCCTACTACTTGGCACCATAGCAATACCCCATCTCCCCCGTGTTCCCTAAGATAGAACTTTGAAAAAAAAGACCCATCTTCTCCAAGTCGGCTTTGAATGACACTAATTTCCTTCCCACCAATTCTCAAAGCCAGAGTATCAACATCAACTTTGGAACAGTGAATGGCCAGGCCTGGGCCAGGTAACAAGCACCAAAGCCAAGGTTTGAGCCAAAGTCTGAGCAACAGCAAAGCCCGTGCTGTACAAGCCAGCTACACCATTCTCCATTCTGACCTGATTGCTCCCAGGCTTGGTGAAACTGAAGGCAACAATCCTGGGTGCTGGTGGCTCACGCCTGTAATACCAGCTACTCAGAAAGCAGAGATCAGGAGGATCAAGGTTCAAAGCCAGCCAGGGCAAATAGTTTGTGAGACCCTATCTCAAAAATACCTAGGCAAATCGTGCCTAGCGTCCAGCTAGAGAAGCTTCTTTGTGGACGTGTGTTAGTAACTCCCTCGGGTTATTCTGCGTTCTGTGTGACTTCAGAGACTTTCTGATCGAGTGTAATAGAAACCTGATGGCTTTAAAATTGCCCAGGCAACAGCAGCAGACTCTCCATTTCTATATAGTGAAACAACACCCTCCCCCAGCAGACAGAACAAATGCTCTTTAAATCAAAGGCCCTGTCAGTTTAAAAGGTTAATAATACCTGACCCCCAAATTAAAGAACATCTCAGTTATAAATGCAGTAGGATTATTTTAGTAAGAGACTACAAGGTTTTTCATGTTTTCCCTAAACAGATCGCTAATTCAAATAGGAAACTTAAGGACTGGATGCATGGCTCAAGTGCTAGAATGCTTGTGTAGCTGCATAAAGCCATGGGTTCGAACCCCAATGCCACCAAAAAAACACCCAGCTATAATCTTAATATTAAAGTGATATATGGTTTTTACTTTTAGAGGTTTATATCTAACAATTTTATAATGTGTTTCTGAGTATTTTTATTTTGAAATGTATAATTTGGTTTCAAAGTTATTAAAATTTTGTACATATTCTGCACTCTTAAGAATTTTCTGTTGGTGTTCTATATTGTGCAAAATAAATAAAATAGCAGTGTTGTCTTTTGTTCTGATATTGCAATCACTTTTTATAACCTTGAAGAACAAGTCACTTAACTTTCTGGGTCTTTTTCTCCCTATTAAGTGGATAATCAGTTCAACTGCATTGACCTAACAATTGAGACACCATGTATCAAAGTGCCTAACATTGTGTGTATGAGGTATGGACTGAATCAAGATTTATAAGTCAAACCTACTTCCAGCTGGGTGCTGGTGGTACATGTCTGTAATCCTCGCTACTCAGGATGTAGAAATCAGGAGATCATGGTTGGAAAGTAGCCCAGGCAAATAATTCGAGAAACCCCATCTTGAGAATACTCAACACACACACACATACACACACACACACACACACACACAACAACAACAGGGCTGGTGGAATGGCTCAAGTGGTAGAGTGCCTGCTTAACAACTGTGAGACCTTGAGTTCAAATCCCAGTACCACAAACACATACAACTAACATACAACTCACTCCCCACCCTTCCTCCTGCCCCATCCCCTTAATATAGCTAGTTGGGTTGCTCTGCTCTGCTCCCTAGGAATCAGTTTTAAACATGGTGAACATCCCAGAGGCTATTGGAAGGTTCCCACATCCCTTCACCCTTACAGTGCTGGGGATGAACCCAGGGCCTCATGCAAGCATGCTGGGCCAGTGCTCTACCTAACCCCCTGACACTGGAGGATTTTAAAAAATTAACAGCGCTTCTGCTTGATATTTCAAGAAATTTACCATGCAGTGTGGTAGGAATAATGGACTGGAAGTCTGGCCACTAGAGAATTTTGCTTTTGCAGTCTTTACAGATACTCTGGGGTGTTGTACCATATCATGTGTAGTTAAAAGCATTTGAAATATAGCTAGTATGACTGAGGAGTTGGGTTTTTTGTTTGTTTGGGGTTTTTTTCTGTGGTAATTGAGCCACAACTCCAGCTCTTTTTGCTCTATCTAGTTTTAGTTTTAGATAGGGTCTCATGTTTTTTGCCTAGGACTGGTTTAGGACCTCAAACCTTTCTGACACCTCCTGTGAACATTATATACCACCAGGGCCAGCTTGTTTGTTGAGATAGGAGATCTCACTTTTTGCCCAGGCTGGCCTCAAACCATGATCCTCCAGATCTCTGTTCCAGGATTACAGATATAAAACCTGGCAGGAGCAGCTGTAAAACCTATAAAAGCAGCCACCTGGCAGGAGCTGCTTTTTCTCATTTAAGTAACTTGACTTGGCTCTGCTGCCATGCTGGACAGCTGAGGTGAACATGGTCTCCTCCAAGGAAGTTTCAGGGTCCTGCTACCTTGCTTCAAACCCACAGGAGTCCAGCCCCTCTTTGGAATTAAATTTTCACTTCAGTTCGAAATTAAAATTTGCTGTGGGGGCTTCTTCCCTGGGTGGTACTGGGTTTGAACTCAGGCCCTTAGGCAAATGCTCTTATCACTTGAGCCATGCCTCTAAGCCCTCAAGTTTGCTTTCATAGCTCAACATATGCAAACACTCAAGAGGGTTTGTGTGTGTGTGTGTGTGTGTGCAGAGTAGGGAACACATGGTCCCCCTGTGCCTCCCACAGCTTCTCCTATGCCTGGTTGTCATACCTGGGGCAGGATCTCCTGGGCCAGTGCTCGTGCCCGGTGGTAGGCAGCGTTGCCTTCCTCATTCTGGGCCACAGCATGGTTCACCAGTCCTAGCTCATGGGCCTGCACCCCATTCAGTCGCCTGCCCGTGAAGATGAGCTCTTTGGCCAAGGCCACCCCCAGGCAGCGCGGCAGCCTCTGGGTCCCTCCTGCCAGGATGGAGGGATGAAGGTTGCAAGTCAGGGAGAGAAAGGAGATCCAGAGATGCCCAGCCTGGGAACCACCAGGATTTCTCTGAGTTGCACACTGAGTAGGAGGGAAGGCAGGATTTCCATAGAGTGCAATCAGGTGAGGTTACCTGCTCCTGGGAGGAGTCCTCGAGTAGTCTCAATCAGCCCCATGACAGCAGAGGAAGCTGTTTAATCAGAACAGAGTGAAACCTTCCCTCCCCACTCTCACCCGCCATTGCTAATCTCTAGGGAGAACATAATCCTGCCTCTGGTCTCCACTTGACCCCTCACTTCCCTTTTGGCCTGGTACACCCAGAGCTCTCCAGACTGCGCTTCTCAAAGAGCCCTAACCAGGGACTCAGGAGTCCCAGGCCTGCACCCCACCACCCCTACTGGTAAACTTGAGGATCACCAGCAACTCTCTCCTGTCCTGGCCCCATTTTGCATGGCAGAGAGCAGCTGGGAGGAAGACAGAGGCTCCTAGAAGGTTACCTGACACCCATTTAGGGGTGAATGGTTTCTCTGTCTCCTGCACCCTAGCTCTAGCCTGACCTAGAGGGTACATGGCCCCTGCTCCTGCCACAGTCACACCTCTCAGGTTTTTGTCACAATCTGAAAAGTCCTTGACAATTCTAGTCCACATCCCCCGATGTTCTGCTTGCTCTGAGCAGCTTTCCTTGACTGACCCCCACAGATCTCTCCACTGAGTTCCCCCAGCCCAGACCATGGGACCTGTGCAGTGTGGGCAGAATGGAGGCCACCATACTGCTCAAGAAGGGGTTTCCCCTCTGTCCTCACGGAAACCCTGTGACGAGTTACTTGCCTAAAACACGGCCACATATCAATGTCTCCCCCAAACCCCTACTTTTTTTATTTTTTTCTTTTTGTGACGCAGGAGATCAAACCCAGAGCCCAGAAGGCTGGGCAAGTGCTCTACCACTGAGCTACATCCCCAGTCCTAGTCAATTCCCTCTTTGACAGACATTGTATAGATAGAAGCCATCTTCATGCCTAGATAGTTTTTTTTTCTTTTGGTACTGGGGTTGAACTCAGGGCTTCACACCTGCTTGAGTCACTCCATCGCCTGAGGCACTCTGCCAGCAAGATACATTTTTGAGTGTTCCTGGGGCAGCAGGAGAAATGGACGTAGGGCACTACAATTGCACTCAGGCTGTCTGAACTGCCACCAGGAAGGGTAGTCACCATGTCAGTGGCCCTGAAAAGTGATCAGTTATCTTCCTCATTCCCCCTTGCCTCAAGGCTCAATTGTAGAGCAAATTATGCAAACCTTGGATGTTGCCATGAACCAGAGGGCTCTGGTCCTGCACAGGCAGCTTTGCAACCAGCTGGACTAGTGACAACTGTCCTCGTGGCTCACCTTTGTGCAGTTCTACTAAGTAATCTGAGTTGGGAGAACTGGAAGGCTGAACTCTGCTCTTTGTCCTGGTCTTCCCTCCCGTGCTCACTGTTGGCCCTTCGGCCCAGGCTGGAAGGCTGGAGCAACCATTCCCGAGTTGAGTGAAGCAGTTCTTGCAGGCAGGCACCGGGTATGACAGCAGTGATAGAGAAGCAGCTTTTCCTTCTCCCGTGTCCCCAATCCTGCCTGTTTTTCTCTTGGTTGGAAGGTCAAGAGAACTCCCAGACTTTCCCTGTTTCACTCACCCTCACTGCCTCAGTCCTCCCCTTCCCCTACCTCCTGTCCAGTACCTGCCACTCGGAGGTCACAGGCCAGGGCAAGCTCCAGGCCTCCGCCCAAGGCAAACCCATCCATGGCAGCAATGGTGGGCACAGGGAAGGCTGCTGTGGAGATGAAAACAGGTTCAGCCATCGAGGCCCGGCGGGACCAGGACAGAGGCCCAAGGCTGGTGGAATAGAGGGCCTCACGGGTCCCGCGTTGGGGACCTCACCGGTTCATCAGTCAGGTTATCTTGAGAAGTTGGCTTTTCTATCTGGGAATGTTTCTGGGGGCAGGTGGGAAATAGGAACAGGAACTAGACTGGATGGTTGCTGTGCAGGCCCACTCTCCTGCTGGTGTCTGTGGGACCTGTCTTTCTGAGTGCCAACCCATGCTGGGTGCTGGAGACACAGACCTGATTCAGACATGGCCTGCCACCAGGTGACCCTGTCTAGTGCAGAAGGCAATTGTGTGATCAGGCAGTGATAATGTGGGAACTTCCAATATAAGGAAGCTTGGAGGGTAGGTCAGGAAGTCTTCCTGGAAGAGGAGGCATTAGAGGTTTTGAAGGATGAGTGAAAGTTCAGGTAGCCAAGGAGTGTCCGGGGCAAAGGGAAGCAACTTTCTTTTTTTTTTTTCTTTTATTATTCATATGTGCATACAAGGCTTGGTTCATTTCTCCCCCCTGCCCCCACCCCCTCCCTTACCACCCACTCCACCCCCTCCCGCTCCCCCCCCTCAATACCCAGCAGAAACTATTTTGCCCTTATCTCTAATTTTGTTGTAGAGAGAGCATAAGCAATAATAGGAAGGAACAAGGGGTTTTGCTGGTTGAGATAAGGATAGCTATACAGGGCATTGACTCACATTGATTTCCTGTGCATGTGTGTTACCTTCTAGGTTAATTCTTTTTGATCTAACCTTTTCTCTAGTTCCTGGTCCCCTTTTCCTATTGGCCTCAGTTGCTTTAAGGTATCTGCTTTAGTTTCTCTGTATTAAGGGCAACACATGGTAGCTAGTTTTTTAGGTGTCTTACCTATCCTCACCCCTCCCTTGTGTGCTCTCGCTTTTATCATGGGGAAGCAACTTTCAAAGCCTGAAAGCCTGTCTAGTGGATTTGACTTCTGGAATGGCTGGCTTGAGCCCTGAGGGCAATGAGATGGTTCACTGGCATGGGGCACCTGAAGAACCAGGCCCCCCTCTCTGGTAGAAATGTCTTTTGCATCCTCTTGTGCCCTCCCCCTTGTGAAATTGCTGTACCTATTCCCCTGGGAGAGTCATCTGTGCCTTTGCAGAGCTCAGGACAGAAAGAGTACTCTTCGGAGTAGGACGCTGTGGGTGAGGAGGGGCTGGCTGGGGCCCCGGATCAGACCTCCACCCCACTCCCAGCCCCTTACCGATCTCATTCATCAGGCCTCGGAGACGCTGGACAAACACGCCCACCTCCGCAGCACTCATCTGCTCCCGCTCCTTCAGGTCTGCACCTGCAGATGGCCAGCAGTTGATGCTACCCTTGGGAAAAGGGCCTACTACGCAATCCCAGCCCCGGGTGAGTAAAGGATTCAGCAGAGGAGACTTGAGAAGCAGCAGCCAGGGAGAAAGGAGAAGCACCTGGAAACACCAGGAGGAGGAGGAGGGGAGTGTCAAGAAAGGAGAGAGGCAACAGCCACAGCAAAGCGTAACCTGGACTTCAGCAAAGTGAACAACTTCTGTGCATCAAATGACATATCAGTAGCCTGAAAAGACGACCCACAGAGTGGGAGAAAATCTTTTTTTTTTTTGGCGGCACTGGGGTTTGAACTAAGGGCTTCGTGCTTGCTAAATAGGCGCTCTTACCGCTTGAGCCGCTCAGCAACCACAGGTGAAAATCTTTGCAAATAATCTATCTGGTAAAGGGTTCGTAATGAGGTGGAGGGTGTAGGTCAGTGGTAGAGCACCCGCCTAGGGTACCCGAAGTCCTGGGTTCCATCTCAGCACCATGAAAAAAATAAAAAGAAAGGACCAACACCTAGGTGTATAACTCCTATAACACAGGAAGAAAAACAGCCAAATCAAAATAGGCAAAGGACTTGAACAGCCATTTCTCCAGAGAAGATACAAAATGTCCAGTAAGCACACCAAAGATTTTCAACATCAGCCAGGTGCTGGTGACTCACGCCTGTGATCCTAGCTACTTGAGGGGTTGATGTCGAAAGGATGGCAGTTTGAGGCCAGCCTGGGCAGGAAAATTTGTGAGAACCCATCTCAATCAACAGCTGGGTGTGGTGGCACACAACTGCTATCCCAAGCTATGCAGGAGGCTGAAAGTGGGAGGACCAGGATTCTCGGCCAGCCCAGACAAAAAAGTTTGCAAGACCCCATCTCAATGGAATAAAGCTAGGTGCGGTGTTCCATGGCTGTCATCCCAGTGATGGCGGGAAGCCTAAAATAGGAGAATCTTGGGACCCTATCTCCAAAATAACCAGAGCAAAGAAGGCTGGGGCACGGCTCCAGCAGTAAAGCACCTGCCTAGCAAGCATGAAGCCCTGAGTTCAACCCTCAGTATTGCCAACCAAACAAAACAAAAAACGATGACCAGCATCACAAAAGCACAGTGAGATTAGGATGGTTATCACTTAAAACATGAAAGGAACTAAACAAAAAATGTCTGCTTGGATGTGGAGAAACTGGAACCCTGGGACACTGCTGTTGGGCATATAAAACAGGTAGCTGCTATGGAAAACAGTTGGGTGATTGCTTAAAAAAGTGAAACAACATTACCTGCAATTCTCATCCAAGTACATACCCCAAGACACTGAAAAAGGAATACAGTTACTATAATCCCAGCTACTCAGGAGGCCTTGGCTCCAAGACAGCCCCAGTGAAAGGTTAGCTAGACCTAATCTCAATGAATAGTCCAGGTATGGTGGTATATGCCTGGCCGTAGGCACAAACATAAGACTTTATCCAAAAAATAACTAAAAGCAAATAAGGGGTGGTGGAGTGGCTCAAGTGGCAGAGCACCTGCCTAGCAAGCATGAGGCCCTGAGTTCAAACCCCAGTAACTCAAAACAAAATTGGTAAAAATGGGAAATTCAGTGTTATATGTATTTTAGCACAATTTCAAAAATAAAATGAGAAAGAAACCCAGAATGCAGTGGCTTGCAGCTGGGCTGGGACCTTGGTGAGGAGGATTGATGTTCGAAGCCAGCGCAGGCATAGTTCTTAAGACCCTATCTCGAAAATACCTAACACAAAAAAGAGGGCTGGTGGAGTGGCTCTAGGTTTAGGCCCTGAGTTCAAGCCCCAGCACTGCAAAAGAAAGAAAGAAATTGCCAAATCATCTTCCAAATTTTTGGCAATGCCATCATGAATTCCTACCAGCAATGAATGAGCTCTCTTGTTGCTCACCCTCCCAGCAGTTGGTTTGGTCAGCACTTGGGAGTTGACATTCTAATAAGAATATAATGACATCCCATTGTTGTTTTAATTTCCAATTCCCTAATCACATATGATGCTGACCTCATTTTATATATGCTGATTTGCCGACTATCTTTCATGGTTCCGAACCTTGCCCCCACTAACTACCCTCCCCCCATTTTTCCTTTTTGAGAGGGTGAATCACTATGTTGCCCAGGCTAGCCTCAAACTCCTAGGCAGTCCTCCTGCCTAGGCACCTGGGCAGTTCTTTCTGAGTCGCTGGAACTATAGGTGTGTTCGACCATACTCAATTAAATCATCACCATCATTATTGCAGTGCTAGGGATCAAACCCAGGGCCCCTCAGGCATGCTAGAGTTACACCCCAGTCTATATATTTTGGATAGCAATCGTTTATCAGTTTTCTTTTGCAAATATTCCTCCCAGTCCATGGCTTGCCTTCTCATTCTCTTGATGACATAAGTGCACTTGTTCATAGTCTATAGTAGGGAGGCAGCTGACTTTTGTACATTGAGGTTGTATTCTGCAACTTCTACTTCTAAGAGTGTTCTGATAATTTTTGAGGGTTTTTTTATAGTGATGCTGAGGTTTGAACTCAGGACCTCATGCTTGCTGGGCAAGCATTCTACCATTGAGCCACTCCTCCAGCCTTTTGTGTTGGTTATTTTCAAGATAAGGCCCAAAGAACTATTTGTTTCTGCTGGCTTCAAACCATGAGCCTCCTGATCTCTGCCTCCTGAGTAGTTAGGATTATAGGCGTGAGCCACTGGCACCCTGTGATTTGGGGGGATATTCTACACAAACAGTTGTCAGTAATGAAAAGCTTTTCCTCTACACTTTCTGTTCAGTCCTTGGCGCTGGTGAATTAAACTGAAACTGACAGATTAACAGGGGGAAATGAAGTTTACTTATATAAGTATGAAAACTCACAAAAGAAATAGCTCTTTAAATAGCTAAAGATTTATGTGCCTAATAGGAGAGATGAGTGGAGAGAATGTTAACAGCGCTGGTATAGTCTGTGATCAGAAGACTTCCAAATTCTTTGTCCCGTGTGAAAGAATCCATCACAGGACACCATGGATGTAAAGGGAGTTAGTAAAATTTAGGAAAGGAAAGTACAAAGGGGAGCATGGTTGGGTCCAGGTGGAATCTGGAAGCCAAGAGAGCTCTTCTGTTCTTCAGGTGCTTTTAAAACGTCATAACGTATGGGAAGAGGAGAACCCTGTGATTCCCATCCAATAATCAATGATTATTAGGGAGGGCGTGGGCGGTTCCCAGCCAGGCGAAGGCAGTTCCTGAGCCAAAGTGTGGGTAATCTAACGTAGTATTTTTCTATGAGTCATGAATGTTCTCTAATTTTAGCCTATCTCAAGAAGAGATTTCTTTGGAAAGAACATATGGGTTTACAGGGATAACAAATGGAAGATAAGAGTTAGTGATCTTGTCGTTTATGCAGAGTGAGAGGTTTTTCTTTGTTTTTCTTCACTGCCAAAAATTCCCTTAGAGGGGATTCATGGCAGCCTCAGTCTCAGAAGTGTCTGCTTTTAGGGAGAAGGGACATTATGAGGAAGCTTCTTTCTACATCTGGTGAATCTCAAATGTCTTTAGTTTAAAATGATCTTTATATGGGGCTGGAGATGTGGCTCAAATGATAGAGCACCTGCTTTGCAAGTGCAAAGCCCTGAGTTCTAACCCTGTCCCACCAAAACAACAAAAAAAACTTTATATCAATTGCAGGGGTCCAGGTAGGCCCCCATACAATCATTTTCTCTGTAAATAGTTTTATTTCTTCCTTCACAGTCTATACACCTGTTAGGTCCTTTCCTTGTCACTTGCACTACCTAAAATTTTCAGTATGATATTGAATAGGAAGTGGTGAGGAGTGACCAAATAGCTGGCACATTTCTCTTTGATGAGACATTTCTAATTCTAGGTCCTGATCTCCCTTTTCTTAGAGCATTTACTTTAGAAACCTTACAGTTCTAAGTTCTTCCTTTGTCTCTTTTAAATGTATGTAAACCTTTCCCCATGTCTTACTAATTTTACGATCCAGGAAATTCCTTTTTCAAACCGTTTTTGTTTTTGTTTTTGTGGGACTGGGATATGAACTCAGGGTTCCACACTTGGAAAACAGGTGCTCTACCGCTTAAGCCACACCTCCAGTCAATTTTGCTTTGGTTATTTTGGAGATGTGGATTTCAGGAACTATTTGCCCTGGCTGGCCTTGAACTGTGATCCTTCTGATCTCAGCCTCCCAAGTAGCTAGGACAGACATGAGCACTTGGCTCAAATCATGTTTTTGAAAAGTAAACAGTGAGGCAATAACATGGGGCTGGGATATAGTTCAGTGACTGGTTGAGTCCCCAGCAAAAAAACAGAGTAACTCACTCTAGCACTTAAAAAACTTTCACTTTTTTTTTTTCTTTTCTTTTTTTCAGTAGACCTTGCTCTCTCACCTACTGCTGAATATCAGAATAGACCTGGGGGCATGCCTCAAGTGGTAAGTGTGCTTTCCTGGCATTCTCTGGGTTCAATCCCTAGTACTGAAAAAAAGAATTATCAGAATAAAATCAGTTTCTATTGGCTCATCATGTCCACTGTGATTTTCTTTAACAGGGAATATCCTTGCCTTGTTCCCAGCTTTAGGGATTGTTAGGTGTCAGTGTTTTGTAACCGTTCTTAAGTTAAGGAAGTTCCCCTTCTATTTCTAATTTGCTGAGAATATGTTTCATTTCATTCATTTTTATTATGAATGGGGGTTGGATTTTGTCAAGTGCTTTTTTTTTTTTTTTTTGGTGGTACTGGGGTTTGAACTCTGAGCTTCACACTTGCTAGGCAGATGCTTTACCATTTGAGCCACTCTGATAGTGTTTTGTGTTGCATTTTTTCGAGATAGGGTGTCAAGGATCAGGGCTAGTCTCAAATTGAGATCCTCCTGATCTCTACCTCCTGAGTAGCTAAGATTATAGACGTGAGCCACTGGTGCCAGCTAGAATAATCCATTATGGACCAATAGGTGATGGAAAAAGTGGGTCTGCTATCAAAGTGAGCTTTCTCTGGCTC